TTTGTGAAATGTTCACGGTTCGATCTCTCCGTCTCATTAGCCCGACCCGATGCCTCTCATTGACTCCTGGGTCACATCGCCTCCCTTTAATCCTTGTTTGTGCATTAATTCATTTTATTTCGTCTTCAACACGTCCAACAAACCGTTTCATCGATACTCTCCGTTTGTCCTATTTTTATCTCCGACGGACTCCCTGCTGGGCCGTGATGCACTTCACTGTTCTCAGAGATTATTTTAGATTGATCAAATCTGATGTACTCGGGTGTAAATATTGTTATCTATAAGTGAGCTGTGTGATACGTATCCAGATACATGGGCTACAAAACCATGCATTCAAAGTCTCATACAGTTCTTAACGTTTGTTTAATGTAGACATTCATTTTCCATTCTAAATTAAAATAAGCCAGTTCTATAAAAGTGACATTGCTTACCTTGAAATACATATATTTTATAAAATAACAGGAAAATCCATGTATATTTCTTTTTTTATGGAAGACAAATGTCTTGTTATCTGTGGTGTTGAATTGTCAGGCATTGAAACGGAGGACAACGACCTGCGTACACTTTAATGTGAAGAGAACCTTGAACCCATCAATGGCCAATTTAAACGAATGACGATAGCTCTACACTCAAACAGGATGATGTCGACGTAATTATGAAGTTTATACCGATCAGCCAGAACATTGTGAGCACTGACAGGTGAAGTGAATAACACTGATTATCAGGCAGCAAGTGAACATTTTGTCCTCAGAGTTGATGTGTTAGAAGCAGAAAAAATGGGCAGCGTGAGGATCTGAGCGACTTCGACAAGAACCATATTGTGATGGACGACTGGGTCAGAACATCTCCAAACCTGCAGCTCTTGTGGAGTGTTCCCGGTCTGCAGAGGTCAGTACCTATTGAAAGTGGCCCAAGGAAGGAACAGAACCAGAGACAGGGTCACTGGCGGCCGAGGCTCAACCACGCACTTGGGGAGTGAAGGCTGGCCCGTGTGGTCCGATCCAACAGACAAGCTACTGTAGCTCAAACTGCTGAAACAGTTAATGCTGGTTCTGATAGAAAGGGGTCAGAACACACAGTGCAGAGCAGTCTGATGGTCTGGGACCAGTCAGGGAACTCAAAATTGGTTTATAGGAATGCAATATACAATCCTTTAGTGAAAAACGTGTTTGGATAACAGCAGGCTAATTACACACGACTCCTACGAGCGGTTCGAACCTCGTGAATTGTCTTCGTACCTCAGAGAAAATTCAAAATAAGAGAAAACCACTTAAGAAGGAATATGTTCGTACAAGTGGTTATGAAGTATTCAAAGTATAAAAGAGACAAGTACTCAGCTGGTTTCTCTGAACTGAAACTTCAAACAAAGTCCTCTCTCGTCGGTTTTCGTCTCATTACCTCTGTCGTGTGCAATCTGCACCGGTCTGGATGTTCGCGAGGCGTTCAATGACGCAAAATCAAAAGTATTCTTTAGTCTATTTGGGTTTGTTTTTTTCGGGGGATTCTTGGTTGGATGAAAACAAGCTATTTAAAGACGTCACCTTGTGTTGTGTGAGCTTGTGGAAGGGCCTTTACTAGAAGAGTAGTAGGAGGATGTATAATGTGGTGTTGTAGAGAGAGCGAAGTCTCTGTTTGAGTCCTGAGTGTGTGTGTGTGTGTGTGTGTGTGTGTTTGTGTGTGCAGCAGGTGTGAGGCCAGACTTTGACCCAGGGTTTCTTCCTGTCCATCTGGATGCAGACAGTAGGAGGCTCTGAGTCTCCAACACTGAGCTCAGTGTCTGACTGTCAGAGCAGCTGAGAGGGAGAACTCCACTTTACAGCCGCACCCGAACACACCGTCCAAACACTTACCGTCGCACTGTTTCTCAGCAGGGGATTTTTATTTGTTTGATTTAATTTAAGTCACATTTACAGACTTTTTCAAATCGGATACAGTGTAGGTGTCGAATTATTTATTTCTTTGTTGCATTTATTTCACGTTTCCACTCGTCTGTATCAGGAAACAATGGCGGCTCGCCTGCTCACACAGGATCTGGTATTCCAGATAAACAGCAAAATAAACCAGAAATAGTCAACGCAGTAACAGAATCTGGATCCGTATCTGATCAGCACTGTTTGACAGTTCGATCTGAGTTTGGTGCGTTGAGCTGGACGGACTCAAGCGACCCAATAACCAACCAGTGCATCAAGTCATCCTGCCAGTGTGGGTAAAACAGAGATAACCAACTCTTCCAGAGCCACTGCGAGACAGGAGCCTCTTCGTTGTCACTGCTGTCATTAGTGTGTAGGTGAGGAAAGAGGAGGCGGTGGTGATGTTTTTATAAAGTGAAACATGGACAGGGTTATAATCAGTGCAGAAGTGTTCCCATGCTGCGTCTGTCATGTGTTAGCACTTCCAGACATCTCTCTCTGTGGGAGTGAACAGCAGCTGAACATGAGGAAAGTGGGTCGAACTGTCTTCTTTGTGTTTTAATATCCAAGAAAATGTTTCTCATTATAATGTAAGGTTGTTAGTTGAGTTCTTTGAGGATGGATGTGCAGACAGGTTGAACAGTAATTTAACCATACTGTCAGACAGTGTGTGAGGATGTTTTCTGTTGTGTAGTGGTAGAAGTTGCCTCCTCAAGAAGAAGACATGTTGCTGCACCTTCTTAAAGCTCCAGTTCGTAACATTGAGGAGGATCTATTGGCAGAAATGGAGTTTAATATTCATACATGTGTTTTCATTATTGTATAATCACCTTTGTTACCTTAGAATGAGAAGTCCGCCATGTTGAACCCATGTAGGACCAAACACCGGCTCTAGAGCTGGTACCTAAAAGAGGAGCTACTTCTGTTACATGGATGTGGTTTAGGTATTAAAAAAGTCTGATCCGAACCAGAAACTGTACTATACATTAATGCAACTACAGCTGAAAAGTCTTTTCTATTTCTATATTTTAACACCAATATTTAACATTTTGCTACGTGCTTCATTGAAAATGTGCACAAAAGTTTAAAATAAAACCTTTTATTTGTCAAGTATATAACTCAAAATATCATAAGATTACTATTATGTAAACTATGTAAATGTGCTATATCGTGATATATATTGTTATCTCCATATAAAATGACCTACAGTCCATCAGGATTTTTTAGTCTCATCTGCAGCTCTTAGACTGAACGTCCTCTGTGATCTACGACGCTGATACAAATACTGGTGCGTGTACAAAGTGAGGATTACAATATTACAGCTGCTGTAGCACGCAGTCTGAGCAGAGACATCATCTCTGCAGGAACCAGCTGCTGTAGTTGCTCATTATTTCACCGCCACCGCACACAGACGCACTGTCGCTTGTTGCTGTGTGAGTGGATGTTGGTGTTTTTTTCCCGGTGTAGATCAATAAGGTACATCTGTACGGCGTGGGAGAATCCGCTCCTAAAAACAACATCAGAGTCAGAGAAGCAACGCCGGTGCATGGAATGAATAAAACACAATAGTATTACATCCTCGTACACACACCTACGCTGTTGAGCCCTTTTTCTCTCGGCGTCGGCCCTCAGCGGGATGTGTACTCGTCTCCGTTTGCTCCCATTGATTCGGTTCAGCTCGCTGAAACGTTACCGTGGAAACGGGAGACGGCGACCCCCTGTTATGCGTTTCTATTCATCTGTATTGAGTCTCATTGAGAGCAGAGTAGTACGCCTGGTAGCACCTTAACCCTCTCTTCCTCCTCTTTTTACTCTCTCGTTGTGGTCGTCACTGGTTTCTTTCACTCCAACTTCTCTCACACGTTTATTTCTCTTTCTTGTCCAGATGTGTTTCTGCCTCTGGTCAGCAGCCAGTGGAGTTTCCTTTTTTAATGAGGAAGCCAGAATCAAGAAGTATCAGCAACAAAAAATAGTACAAATAGTATAGATAGTTTTTTTATTTTTCCTTCTTCCTGTCCTTTGTTTTATTCATTTTATTTATCTTTTCTCAGGAATTTGCGAAATCTGTGAGATCTTCGTAATATTTCTGCTAAAATGTTATTTATAAACACGTTATTTAATTACACATATTCACCATTAACTACTTGCCTATTAGCATGGATATTAGTAGCATATTGACTCTTTATTAGTCATTATAATGCAGTTATTAATGACTTATTACAACTACTGGGCCTCCTTATTACTGCTTATTGATAATAAGTAAGGACGATGCTCAGTATGGGTCTTATAAAGCAGTAGCACCACAATCATTCTCCCTTAATAACACTTAATAAATGCAGTATTCTTATGTAAGAAAATACAAAACTACAAGTGTTAATAGTGTCCAAATAACTCTCAGTTAAAGGTCCAGAGGATTTATTGGCAGAAATGTAATATAATATTCGTAGGTATGTTTTCATTAGTGTTTAATCACCTGAATATGTGTTTTCTTTCCTTAAAATTTACAAACTGGACCTTTAATTTAAGCCCCGACTGTTAAAAACATAAATCTGTGCCTGTGTGTTGACAGCTATCCCACAATGCAACGCTCCACATTTTTTATTGATGAGAAAATTACCCCCGTGCCTCTGAGCCTCTACACCTGGCAGCGGTGACTCATAATGATGATGATTAGCGAGCGTCTGGAATCTCAATTTATGGCTCACAATCGGGCGAAACTGTTACACAGAGACGGCGGTGAATGAGCGTACTCGGTGCGTGGAGAGTTTGACGCTTGACAGGCGTAGCAACAGTAACCAAGGGGGGGGCGGGACTTAATTGAAGGGTCAATTAAAGGGCGCTGCGACTTATTGGTGATAAGATGATGATTCTGCTTAATAAAACTACCCTTCAGGTGCTCTTGAGCAAGGCACTGAGCTGCTGGTTAAACTGTCTATTTCCAGCAGCTGCACAGTATCTGTTTTTCCACTGACTGTGCTCTTGAGCAAGGCACTGAGGGTAACTCAAATACTAAAGTATCACTCGTTCTGTCTGTGTGTATCACATGCGTACTGTGTGTGTGTGTGTGTGTGTGTGTGTGTGTGTTTTCAGACTGTCTGTTTGTGTGGTCTGATCAGTGTGTCATTGTGTGTCCCCTCTCCCTCTCCCTCCTCCTGCCAGTCACCCCAGAGGCCATCGGCTTCCTGTCGGCGGTGGGCGTCTTCATCGTGGCGTTGGCCGTCCTCTTCCTCTTCATCAACAAGAAGCTGTGTTTCTCGCGTGTCGGCGGGCTGCCCTGTCTGGAGCAACATGGCCGCCGGAAGAAAGGACGAGTGGGAGTCCGCCAGGGGCTCGGTGAGTGACGAATATATAAAGGATCATTGTATTTGGGAACGTAGTAAAATACATATTACATATTTACATTTAACGAAGAAGAAACTAAACAAATACACACAGATGTGTGTTACAGATGTATTGCTCTTTATTGGAAGAAAACAAAACAAAGATAGTGTCAAAGAATGGATTTAAGGAATATAATCACGGTGTTAGAGACTTACAGAGTGAGAAATAGATAAAATGTGTGTTTGAGGAAACCTGGAAACTCTTCAGGAAACCCTATACTGTTTTAAAGGTGATAGCATCACCTCTGAGACAAGAATTGTAATGAGAGTACTAGAGATGCATTTTTTATTTATCTTTCATTTGTATTTGTATATTTATTTAGGCACTGCTACTTTGTTTTGTTTGTTTTTGTGAAGGTTCGGGGGTTGGAGACATTGTTTGTACTGATAAAAACAAACTAATAAATAGTGTTTACATAAAAAAACAAGTGGAAGTAGCAGAAGGTTATAACACAGAAAAACCATGACTGCGACCACAGCAGTTTGAGGTCAGGAACTATCCATCCATCCACTGTTTACTGTTATCTGGTAGGGCTAAAGATTGTCACACATTTATTAGTTTAATTATATAAATATATATATTGTAACAGCTGCCTGTTAAACAGAAAAAGCTGTAAAGATTCTGAATGTCAACATCAAAGTCTGGTTGTTGAGCACACGGAATAAATAACTTCCAACTTCACTGAAACTTATCCTGGCTGATCGATACAATGGATGATGGATAACGTTAACAGTTACTGACTAATTAACTGGCTACAAACTGGCTCCTCTTCCTCCGTTTCATTCCTCTCCTGTCGCTGCCTGAACCCGCCGAGTCTTCATCCCCAGAGTCAGAGTCCTGGTCGGAGCCACTGGGACGCTAACTAGGTCTGTGTTGCAACAATCCTCTGACTGGACTTCTCTCTGGTCTCTGAGTCATTCCAGTTTATTCCACCTGACAGAAAGGTGCACAGAGGTCTTTATTTTGAGTCTTATTTCCATGAATATTGATCTCCCGCTCTCCTACATCGACCGACCGACCTCCTGTAAGAAAGGAAAACAATACCACCAATTCCTAAAATGTTGAACTAAATCTGAAAAGCCTCTCATTGACAACCAGAAAAAACTGTAGAAAGTCTTTGTTTATTTCAAGTGAGCGCTGTCTGCTTTCTAGTCAAGGTTCACCTATTATATAACCTGTCAGATCCCAGTAGGAGAGAGAGAGCGTGTGTGACTCCTGCATGCATTATGACTCCAATTAAACTAGTCAGTAACAGGGAGGGAACGTGGGTGAGTTTGTGTTTGTACAGTGGTTTCTGTGGGCGAGTTTTGTACGTACGAGAGAAAGAGCCGAGTGAGTCAGCCACATAACTGCCGCAAAGCTCTGCAGCGGCACATAATACAAAATATTAACATTTTAAAACCTTGAAGAAAACTTCAGCAAAGAGGAAAAAGTACAGAGAGAGAAAAGGGACACTGTGTTTCTTTTGTTTGCTCTTGTCAACCTGTAAAAACACTTTCTTTCCTCCCACTTGTCAAACACTGCTGACACCAAGAGCTAAAGGTTACTAAGGGTTAACTAAATGTTGGATTCAAGTCCAGATTAAATTAAAAATTTAAATTTAACATTTAATTATATTAATATATGTATTTAAAAAACACTAAAAACTAAAAATAACCGTAAACTTTTTTATTTAATACTGAAATTCAACATTTAAATAAAAGTTGTTTTTACACTTTCTGACTAAGGAAATAAAATGTTAAAAACATGTTAACTGGTGAGTTTTGAAGATGCTCCTCCTGTTTCCAGTCTTTAAGCTAAGCTAACTATCTGCTGGCTGTAGCTTCAGACGGATACTGTGAGTCTAAAAACAAAAAACACACAAGGTTTTTTAACATTTAGAGTGAAGTGTCACTTCAGTGTTTGACAGTAATATGGATGTGAGAGCTTCCTCAACGTGGGCTGAAGAGGGTAAATCCTGCAGATTTCATTGTGGCTGAGCGCCTCTGACTCACTTTAAAGATCAAAGTTAGCTTTTTATTTTAGTTGGAATCAAACTCACATTTCTCCCTGGTTAGCTGAACTTAACTGAGTATTATTTATGAATGTGATGCTTTTATAATTGAGATAAGACATTCCCACCGGCGGGATGGTTGAACCCGGGTGGAGACTGTGAGTCAGTGAGCAAACACTGTGCAGGTCTGTTGGTTCCTCACCTGCAGCAGGTGGAGTCTCTGGTATTTCCAGTTGGTTTCCTGAACAAATAACACATCCTGTTCGGAGTCTCTCCGCGAACGTTCCCAGCTCCTCTTGCAGCTTCCCAGAGCGAGGTAGGGGCTCTTACTGTCTTAATGTTTTCAACCACTAATTCAAACTATATCAGAAAATGTAGATTTAACCTGGAAATCTGTCGGCCTCATTAAATAGTTCCATTTGTACAACGGAAATTTAGGTTTCTTTTTTTTTTAAATGTGATACAAAGTGACAAACTTGACCAAAGTCTAAATTTTTGAGTGACATGTTTTTGTTTTAGGCAGATAATCCGTAATTTCTGGTGTTATCCGAAGGCTTTTAAAGGTGTATATTATGAGATAAAGTAGCTGGACAATGATGTGAAGTTGGTAATCCATCCACCTGTTTTACTTTGGTGCATTTTTATTGAAGAAAACCTTGCTAATTAAACACATTTTAACTTCCTGTAAATCCTTCACAATAAAAGTCTGCGGTTATTTAAAGTCGGTTTTCACATACAAGGAATTTGTCTTGGAAAGTTTGTGCATTACAGTGAACATAGAGAATATAAATAAAGATAAAGATAAAAATAGATAAGTATAACAATTAATGAGTATTATAATAATTAATACAACTCCTGTACAACTGAAAGCGAACGTGTAAACAACAGTAAACAGTAAAATAAAGCCGATATCTGAAAGTACAAACAGGGAAAGAAACTTAAAACCACAGGGATTCAGGTAGAAGCTACCAAAGTGACAGACCTGTGGGTCGGGACCCTCACTAGGGGTCACCAAAGCTTCACAGGGGGTAGTGAGGCCTTCTTGATTTTAACACACAGTACACAGTAGGTCTATATCTCAGCGTTCTGTTAATTTCTGTGAAGAAAAGTGAATAGAATTGTTATTTGTAAAGTTTATATAATTATTTAAGATCTAAACTCTTCTTCAGTCTTCAGTCTCTGATCAACAGCCTCATCCTGCGTTCGAAAACGACCAAAGAGCCGATAGAACAATGAGAAGAAAACACTGAATCTGTCAAAAAAAGAAGCTTATTAAGTCTGTTTGACTGTTAAAAATATAAAAGGAAACATAATATGGAAATAAAAAGACTGCAAGTAGTTTTAAAAGTTGCTAAAATATCAGGAAAACCTCTGAATCTCCATTCAGTTACGGACTTTTACGACCATTTTTTGAATTAGGTTTGGTTTGGGGAAAAGTTTCTTCGATTTCTGTGTATTTGTGTGTGTGTTTTTATTTGAGTATGCAAGGGGTGTGTGTGTGTGTGTGTGTGTGTGTGTGTGTGTGGTGTGTAGTGTGTGTATTCATTCAGCCACATTACTCCACTCTGAGCGCTTCCGCCTGTGATTAGCTGCAGGAGACAGAAGTCAACGGACCAATCAGCCGTCGCTCGCCCACTCAGATAAAAACCAGCTTCCTGCTCCCTGTAGGTAACCATGGCGATCGCTCAGGTAGAGACATTGACCTGCACTTTGGAGAGAGGACGGGCTGATCGCTCCACCGCCACATCACTCATTCAGCTGTTGCTATCCAATTATGGTCAAATTATGATGCGAACAGAGCGGCCCTGCGAACGCTTACGGGTTTATTTTCAGAGAGAGAGAGAGAGTATGACTTTACATGTGTTCTCTCTTCACCTGCTTTATGAGTATTTACATTTTATAAAAGACATAATTTTATTAGCACAAAATGGCTTTAATGTTATTAATACTGTATCTGTGACCTTAATCAAAATGCAACTTTTAGCCCAGATTACAGACTATATATATATTAATTTATTTATATATATATTAATTTATAAATATATATACATTGTGTGTGCTCGACTCTTTTATCTTTGGGTGAAAATAAAGATAAAGAGATATTTTAAAATATTTTAGTGTTTCAGACCAAAAGTGATAAAAAATTCATGTTTTTATTCTTCCTTTCAACCTGGATCTCTTCTCTTCCTCTATTCCTCCCCTCCTCTCCTGTCTTCCTTGTTTCCTCCTCTCCTCTCTTCCTCCTCTTCTTTCTTCCTCGTTTCTTTCTCCTCTTTCCTTCTTTCCTCTCTTCCTTGTTTCCTCCTCTCCTCTCTTCCTTGTTTCCTTCTCTTCTCTACCTCGTTTCCTCCTCTCCTTTATTCCTCGTTTCCTCCTCTCCTCTCTTCCTCGTTTCTCCTCTCCTCTCCTCTCCTCTCCTCTCCTCCTCTCCTCTCTTTGTCGTTTGCTCCTGAACACTCCCAGACGTTCCTCTCCATCATTCCCTGTGTCTCCCTGTGTTTATCTCCCTACAGTGAACAGCTACGGTGACGATGAAGACGATGTCAGCAGCTCCTCTGACAGTGAAGAAGAGGTCCTGAAGCAGTTCGAGATCTCTGTGTCGCGCTCGCAGAGTTTCCGCACGGCGGCGTCCAACGGCAGCGAGCAGCAGACCCAGCAGACGCAGCTGGCTTTGGGTCGACGCCACAAATTCACCCGACTGTCGGACCAGGAGGAGGGCAGCACGGAGCCGTCGGACTGCGAAGGTGCTTTAAAACATTCCTCTGCACACATATTTACCAAATCCACATCAGAACTGTGCTTAGGTTTGACCCCATTCAGGGTTCAGGAAGAGCAGATTGCACCACTTTCACACTAGAGAGCTAAAAACTCCAACAAGCAGAAAAACCAGCAAGATCCACCACTAATCCATCCCAGTGTCAGTGAGCCAAAAGGCCCCAAATAACGTTTTTACCGCAGCTTAGAGGCTGTAAAGAGCTCAGGGCGGCTCAGTGTGATCGGACCTCTGAGGATGGATGAGTGCGGACAGACAGACGCTCTAATTAGGACACTTGTTTGTAGTCGGTTGGTTTGTTGGTTTGTTTTAACCCTCTAAAAGCAGAACTTTCCAGAAATAAAACGCCAAGAGTGGAGGAGAGCAGATAAAACAATTAAAATGAAATTAAAGGTGCACACACTGCACATTAAACACTACAGATGATTACCTTCATGCAACAATGGCTAAAAAGACAAAAACTCTTAAACTTGAAAGACAGGACTCACCTGAGCCAAACTATAAGCTTTATCAAAGAGGAACATCTTAAGCCTACTCTAAAATGTGGAGATGGTGTCTGCCTCCCGAACCACAACTGGAAGCTGGTTCCACAGGAGAGGAGCTTGGTAACTGAAGGCTCTGGCAGAAAATGATCATGTCCATGTATGGGACCAAAAGAATACTTAAAATTTCCTTCCCACCGAATTTTGTGCAGATTTTCATGTGTTTTCAAGTATTTTAAGGCAATATTAAAATAATAATAGCTGGAGCAGTTTCAATAAATACCTAAAAACTAAAAAATATACATAATGCAAATAACTTCTGCAGAAATATTTTGTTTATATTTCTACATCTTTTGAATCACTTTGTTTTTTGTTTTAAACGTTAATAGATTTTTATTCTTCGTTCTTTGTGAAATTAAGACTAATGTCATTTTGATGTATGGATTTCTTTGTGGTTTAATTGTTATTTGTAGGTCTGTTAACTAATTAATCAAATTAAAGGTGAGGAAATGTGTAAAGAAGTGAGGAAACAAAGGGATTTTTTCCTCTTTAGGTCATTTTGGTGAAAGTTACAGAAGCTTAAACTCAGTTGTGATATTTCGTGAAGGAGCACAGGACAATCATACAGCTTTAAGTATTAAACATACATTGCCAAAAGTTTAGGTAACACGGTTCCTAAAATTTTCTTCCTAAAAATTGCGATTAATAATAATCCCAACATCCGGAAAAACATAATCTTGGATTATCATCTGAGCCTGAATCCTGCAGCTCTGCCGCTAACTGACGCTGATATTTCTCCACCCAACAAACAGATTCTCTGACTTTACAATGTTAATGTGAATAAATAGAAAGAGTAACACCCGAGAAATAAATTACTAGAATAAAACAAAGTGTTACACATAATAAACTACGTACAGATAATACAGCTCTTCTCTTCTTTATATTTATTGAATTAACCTTCCCAGTCAACATGCTTAAGGTCTTAAAGCACTATAATATATAGAAATACATTCTCATATTAGTGAAGTAACTGGGTTAACATGTATAAAAACAGAGTATATCTTATAGTATTTAGTATTTTTGAGTTCTGTGCCACGATATTTAATTTTATTCTCCACAACCAAATTATCTCGCGACCCCCTTTGAGAGCCCCGACCCCCAGGTTGAGAACCACAGTTTCAGGCGAGCAGCTGCTTGTTGGTGGGTGGTGACATTGTTAGGTTGGGGTCACTGTGTCTCAACTGGTATTTACTTTCCGTCCTGTGACACAGACGAACCAGGTAACACACACACACACACACACACACACACACACACACACACACACAGGCTGATGACTCACCGCAGCCTGTTGCTATGGTCAGCACTGTATGCAGCCATAGATAGAGCAGTCAGACCGACCTTAACAACGCTGAATTGGAGATAATTGCTATTGATTGGTTCGAGGTACGGCCTGTTCTTCCGAGAGCTTCTATCTCAGGAAATAAAAAGGTCAAAGTTTGACAGATTACGCAATATCACCTCGTTCTAACGCTCCCAAACAAGGTTTAGGTAGCTTCTTTTAGACCTCCCAGACTCAATTAGAGGAGAAACCAGAGGAGACACCATCATGTCAGGCCAGGTCAGCTGGTTCTGTATTTGTTTCTGCTGTGAAGTGAGGTGTCCTGTCCTCTCCTCGCTCCTTTCTAGGAAGAACAATTTAGAAAACATTCAGGTAACATTCGCAGGATCCTCCGCTCTCGTTGTTTAAGTTGGCTTCAAATGAGGCTCGCACTGTTTCTCTCAACACAACACAGAAGATGGCAAAATGTACAGACCGCCGGTCATCGATCCCTCATTGAGCTCGAACCTTCATTACTCGTTATGTAACAAACAATAGGCTACTTGTGAAAATGTTTTTTATGTAATCGATTTACAGCCTACTGAAGAGCCTGTCCTCAGTGAAATGAATAAACAAATATAATAAGCACTCAATGGGAAAGTTAGAAGAAAAACAAAACATCCTCGAGTCATAAATTAGCCAGCGTGTTGTGAACTGGTTTCACTGATGGAGGCGATAAACAGACTTTACATATTCAGCTTTACTTTTCACGCACTCAGATGTTCACCGTACCGCTTTATCCGGTCTGTATCCAGTGACGTATCTGTCCTGGGAGACTATTAAACCACACGATAATAACAATATATTTGAATATTGTTTTCTTGCATAATCAATGTTATTTCTAATAATATAGACACATCAAATCCATCTGTCATCAATAGCTATTTCAGGAGGCAGGTGCGTAGGAGTGGGGTGAGTGTCCAACAGTAGAAAAGATCAATTCCAAATGGTTCATGATAATAAGACGGCTTCTCATTTTCCTTTTAGTAACAAATAAATGTTTGTACTGCAAGTTAGACAGAAGTTATCTTTTCTATCAGGTCTGCATAGAAACTAGTTTCTCCTTATTAAACACCAGTGGTTGTCCGATCAATGAGATATTGATCGGACAAAAACAATCGACCAACTGGATGCGAACTGCCGTTATTTGACTATCTTGAAAAGTACGATGGACAAAGCTGTGACGTTTCAGTGTGTCAGATACATCAGCTTTATTAGATTTAATGAGGGTTTGATAAGCAGATTTCCAAACTTGAATCCATGTGTCCTCACGCCCACAGATATAAAACCGACCGCCAGAGGACCTAAATGCTGACTTTCCTCCCCTGTTGCCTTCCTCCTGCAGAAATGGAGGCTCAGAACCGGCAGGGTTTCCAGGACCCGCTCTCTGCGGCCGTAGAAGAGAGCGAGAGGGCGTCTGCGCTGGACAAACCCGCCAGACTCGAGGCCTCGGGCGATAGGCAGAGCCCCTCCCTCAGTATGAACCGACAGGCAGCCGACGGCAGCGAGGACACGGCGGAGAAGACCCTGGATCTCGACAAAAACGATGCCACAGACAGCTCCTCCACCTGGAGCCCCGAGGTACTGCAGCCTCACAGCCCGAGATAATGGTTGTAAATTCTACCAACGTATATTTGTTTCTCACACTTTCTCGTATATATACAAACTAAAGGTCTTTATAGGTCTGAAAATGTGTACTTGACCTAAAAAAGGACACATTATTATCTCACCTGAACCCACAGTGTCCTGATCAGTGGATAAGGATGTGGGAGGAACACAAACAAAAGCACAAATACAGAAATAGCTCCTGAGAAATAAACAGTGTTGTTCAAGCTTTGGCAGAGTGTAAGCACTAACATTAACCTCACAAACTGGGTGACACATCCGAAGAGAAAACTTCCTCATTTCACACATCTCAGCTCACAATAACCACCGAAAAGGAAAAAAAAAAAAAAAAACCAAGGCGGGGATTACTTAACGGGGTCGGCGAGCTGACCGCAGCCCTGCTGTTACCCATCATGCTTGGCAGAGGTATCATCATCATTCAGCTGCGAGAGGATTATCACTCTGCCATGTTATCCTCTCAGGTTCATTTTGGAAGAAACAAACCAAACACAGCCCACTGAGGCCTCGAGGTTTTTGTATAAATAGTTGATATTTCCTTCGCTCGCCACGCTGCGTTGGCTAACAAACAGAAGTTCATGAATAATAATCACTGTGTGTGTGTGTGTGTGTGTGTGTGTGTAAAGAGAGTATGTATAAATACGTGCATACATCTACTTACCATGTATTTCTGCGTGGACTCGGTTGTTGGCGTGTGTTTGTGCATGTAGGAGAGTGGGAATCTAACAACCTCTCAGTCACCAAATCACACTTTGGAATTGGGAGCAATCTGTGCAGTAAACACCTCCCACACACACACACACACACACACACACACACACACACACACACACACACACACAGGGTGATACTGACAACTAGAAATGCTTCATAAATAACAAATGAGTTTGGATGCAGCTACAGAAAACTAGGGGAGAGCCATGTTGTAGCAGTTTATTTATACAGTTATATAACAGCCCTGCTACTGCTAATGCTAACGCTAGCGCTACTACAGCTGCTGCTAATAATACCAACTCAACGCGTCGTGCTACTATAACTGCAAGTACTGTAAACTGTGTTTTGCTCTAGTTGCAAAGAAACATTCTTAGCTGCAACCGTGTGGGGTCTACTCGCTTTATGTCAGCATATCTTATTTTAAATAATCAGTTAATGACCTACAGACGTCAGTAATAGCCTAATTTAACACACGATCCATCATCTCTCACATCAAAACAATAGCAAAAGACAGCGTGGGATCATGGGAGTTGTTGTCTTCACCACCATTGGCGTCATTGCAGTCAGCTTCTCCCGGTTAGGATTCCTTCAGCGTTCATGGTTCAGGAGGTTTCTACCGGGAGCCCAATGATCCACAGAGGTCTCCTCCTCTCCAACACAAACAGACCCGCTGATTAAAACCACTAAACACACTGAATAAAGCAGTTCCACCTTAAACACACTGAATAAAGCAGTTCCACCTTAACAATCACTGCTTCTCCCACGCTGTTGGACAGACAAAGGACGTCCCGGAGGGGCTGCGAGCCGAGCTGCTGCTAACGTTAGCTCAGCTTGTTTCTCTGATAACTTAAGATCCAGACGTCCGATGACTAAAATCCTTCATCCGGTTCAAATCTAGAGTTAAAAAGCACCAAGATCTAAACAGTGGATGGTAACAATGTGGCTTCAGACTGGATCAACAGTCAATGTATGACAGCTTCTGGCAGACAACCACAACGCTGACGCAGGCACAAAGGGGATATGACGCCATCGACAGGCGACCGGTGAAACGCAGCGTTACCTGAATAAAATGACAGATTTCATTGTTGGAAAACATTTGGTTATATACGGTTATAAAACAGAAACAAAAGTCTAAGTGTAGTTCTAGAAGTAATCCCGAGTACTTGTTGTTCTGCCCGTAGAGGAGGAACTGGTAAACTTCCACAGATGCTGTTTACCAGGTGAGCGTGTTTTGGATCTTCTGACCCGCACGTTCAACCGGCTCCAGCAGCAGCTTTTGTTCATTATCTTATCTCCTCTGCGGTTGCCATGTCGACGGCGACACTCAGCGCCGCTCTGTCAACACTCGACACAATCGATGATGTGTTTGCCGACTGTAGGGGAGGCTGAGATTGGCTGCAGAGGAGAGGAGGAGGAGGAGGAGGTTTATTTCTCCTTTATGACAGGATTTCTGCTCTGAACGTTTGACAGAAAATCTTTGGAGTCTTTCTATCTGACAGCGGGGGTGTACTTTACTGAAGTAATTCCCTGTTATGTTGCTTTATAATTGTACTCCACCACATTTATTTTACAGCTTTATTTATTAGTTGGGTTGCAGATTCAGGTTATTAAAACAAAATTAAATCAAAACATAAAATTCTATTATGTATTTATTGCTTTGCACAAGTCAGGCTGGGACTAAGAGGGGGGTTGTAATGCTCCTCATGTTGTCATCCTTTTGTTTTACCCTGCCCAAAACAATAAAAAGATTATTAAAATACAAATAAACACCTAAATAAAAACCCATATGAATCATTTTCAGTCATTTTCTAAGAGAAAATATCCAAATTCTGATGATTTTTGTCCTCCCCACCTTCTCAGCAAGAGCAACCTCCCGACGAGGTCTCATCTCAGCCGGTCAGCTCCTCCCCTCGACCTCCCATCTCTAAATGTGGAGACCTGGTCCTCTCCCTGGAGTACCACCCTGACACGGAGAAGCTGCTGGTCTCCGTGATCGCGGCCCGGGACATCCCCGACAAGGCCCGCAGCGGGATGGACTCCTGGCAGGTGCACATGGTCCTGCTTCCCTCCAAGAAGCAACGCCAGAAGACGTCGGTGCAGAAAGGTTCGCTGCCGCACTTCAACGAGACATTTCGCTTCTCGCGCCTGGATCCGTCGGAGCTGCACATGTCGGCCGTCAGGTTCCGGCTGTACGCGCTCGGAGGCAGGATGTCCCGTGAGCGAATGATGGGAGAGAAGGTGCTTCGTTTAGGCGGGCTCGACCCGGATGGAGGGACGATGGAGACGACGCTGGTTCTGGAGCCTCGCAGTAACCTCAAGGTGACTTTGTCGCAGTCAAAAACAATAAGGTCACATCTGTTTTTACACAGTTATAATCAAATAAATGGTTGATTTCTCTGTTTGTCAGAGTGTGGACTCCCAGCTGAGCCTGTCTGCTGTGTCTCAGAGCGACAGCGCCTCATCCACTCAGTCTCTGACCCACGGCGGCGTCCCCGAGCTGCTGGTGGGTCTCTCCTACAACGCCACCACGGGACGCATGTCTGTGGAGCTCATCAAGGGCAGCCACTTCAGAAACCTGGCAATCAACAGACCACCAGGTCCGCAGTGAGCCCGAACACACACACACACACACACAGATATTACAGCCCCACCGACATTAATACACAAAAACAAACTTGAGCTTCGACTGGAGCTCTTTTAAATGGAACTTCTTTATTAGGAATTAACTCCTTGAGATGTCGCTTCTCGTTTTCAAGGGGGTCCTCGACGACAAAAGGTACCATATACGCAATAACACGAAAAGATTGACATTGAACCACATTTGAGCCATTAGATAAAGCCAATAGTTTACTAGTCGTAGCACGTTTATGATATTACTTATTAGTTCAAATATAGAGATTTTAACAGCTGCCTGGTAAATGCTAAAACAAAATGAGCGCTCTTCTTCGCAATGGTAATAGATGGAAACGAAGCATTCATTCGCATTTTCTTTTGCTAAATAACTGAATGATTCAGTGAAAATTTGTAACACATTTAAATGGAAACACGGTTAGTGACATATATTAGATAACCAACAGAAAAAGAAAACCCACATGGTTAACATTTGTATATTTGTTTTTCCTTCTTCCTACCTTCATCTCTCTCTCTCTCTCTCTCTCTCTCTCTCTCTCTCTCTCTCTCCTCCCCTCTCCGGTCCAGACACCTATGGGCGGCTGACTCTGCTGAACTCGGTCGGTCAGGAGATCTCGCGCTGTAAGACGTCGGTGCGCCGCGGCCAGCCCAACCCCGTCTACAAGGAGACCTTCGTCTTCCAGGTGGCGCTGTTCCAGCTGTCAGACGTCACGCTGCTGGTCTCCATCTACAACCGCCGCAGCATGAAGCGCAAAGAGATGGTGGGCTGGATCGCTCTGGGCCAGAACAGCAGCGGCGAAGAGGAGCAGCTGCACTGGCAGGACATGAAGGAGAGTCGAGGACAGCAGGTCTGCCGCTGGCACGTACTGCTGGAGGCGTAACGGCCACCCAGATTAAGGATTTTTTTTTATTTTATTGAGGAATGGAAAGATTGGATGTGCGGACAGGAGGATGCATGTGGTTTTGAGAGGCGATGGATTCTCAGAGCGGTGGACAAACATTGAACCTGGCTGGTTATTTAATGTCAACACGAAGGAACAAATTCATCTGCTTTTGGAGGCTGACACAAGTTTAAAATCCGGTATTTTTGTTGATGAATAAGGGAGTGAATGAATGAAAGAAGAACGCCTTCAGCAAGGTTACAGAAACTCACTGGATTCACTCAAGTGGCAGATGAAGATAGAATATATCTTTGTGATGTAAAAGCTTTATAAAATTGTGGAATTTCACTTTTCCTTCTCTATACAAAGCCTTCACTGTCCGCGGCCTCCAAAAGGAGCTGAACATTTGTCCTTCACTTATAGCTCTCATCGGTGAAACAGCTCTGCTGTGAGGCGAGGGAGCTGCAGTTTAGTTTTTCTAGTGAAATGCTGTGTTAGAAAGTACACACAAAGTAGAGGTGTGTGTGTGTGTGTGTGTGTGTGTGTGTGTGTGTGTGTGTGTGTGTGTGCGTGTGTGACTTGTTATTTCTAAATCTTGCTGTTCTTTTACTGCTACAGCTGTGAACTAACGCAGACAGGAAACAGAAAGATGCAACAGCCTGAAAATTTAACATCAGAGACACAGCAGGGTCGACATCTTGAGATGTTTGTTCCAGTTTGGGTGTGTAGGAATAGTGGATTTTATACGATGATGTTGGTAACTTACATAAGTAAATGAATCAGATAGGACAGCGTCTGGATCCGGGTCCAGACTGCTGTCAGCCAATCGGTCAGTCCCTCCTGGAAGTTGCAGTTTAGACCAATCAGCAGGATATTTACGCAGTCCCCGCCAAGTAGAAATGTTGACACGTATGTACTACTAGTGATTTTACTCTTACTGGAACAAGCTGCCTTTGATTTTTTAATGAAATACATGAAAACAAACTTTCTTCATGCCTAAAAACATCATGGATCACAATCTTTTTTAAAAGCTGCTGTAAAATCAAACATTTTAGGTCCCAACAACCCCCCCAAAAAAGTCTGTGAAGTCCAGGAGAGACGGGTTAGTGACCTTCATGCGAGTGCAGTGGTTCCCAACCTGCTAGAGGTCACCAAACCTTCACTGAAGGTCATAAGGCCTTCTTGATTTCATTGTGTGTAAGAAAACTGTTTTCTAATCTAACAATGGCCAAGAGCTAGAGACAAGAAAACACTGAATTGGTCAAAAAGGAAGCCTTTTAAGTCGGTATGACTTATAAAATACATAATACAGACAGATAATTGTGTAAAAACAGGAAATAATCTGCTCCAAATCCATCCAAATCTCTCGTTTTACACAAACTTCCTGCAGTTTCTGAGTTCACTGTTTGTATTAATTGTACAGTTTTTAATATAATATGAAATATCCATAAAATATATACACTTAATCAGTTTATTAAATTATAGATAAAAAAGGGTCCCTGAAGGAAAAAGGTTGGGAACTGCTGCAGTCGGGGACGGAGAGAGAGAGAGAGAGAGAGAGAGAGAGAGAGAGAGATGTGCCCATAAAATGCTGAGTACAGAAACAAACATGAGAGCAGAAGTGAAGATATTCTCTGATTCAAGTGGAGGAGGAAGGCGTCTCATTCATATTCAGCACTCATTCATATTCCGACACATGTGCTACTACAGGCAGGAAGTCTCCAGCAGCTGGAGACTCTCAACCCCCTCCCCCACCGCCACCACCCTCCTCCTCCACCCTCGTCCACACTGAATGATGTTATTTGGCCTCGGCTCGAGCTCCTTCACAGGGCAAAGAAGCTCATTTCAACACCCATCATCTCTGAGCTGAAAAGAGGCTTTAAATATCTCACTGCAGCTGTTAATAACATGCACTGAATTACCCTGGAAGTGTGTTTTTTCCCCCTCCACGCTCTCTCTCTCGGTGGTAATTGGTAGTTAGAGCCGTAGAATCAGTACAGTGTGATGACGGTAATGCCGCTGCTAATGCTCATCCTCTTCCAGTCTGAGCATCATCGAGTCATAAGGCAGCAGTTCGGCCCGCAGGGGGGATTATTATTTGTTTGTGTAGACAGATACTGTAGCTCCGAAACCCCCCTCAGGGGTTCACACGGCGAGAGCACAGAAGTGTTTATTTGTTTTATTTGCTTGTTTTTCGGGGCAGGTGACAATAAAAAGCCTCTTTAAAAAATGTCGAAGTGCAGCTCGGAAACTGTGGAAAAACTGCGAGAAAATGAAAGATTTAATGGGTGTAAAGGGGGAAAAGGTAGGAAGTCAAGCATAACAAATTAACTGAGGGCTTGTGAGTTAAAGGGTCAGTTCAACCAAATCACAACAAGAATCCAGAGGTTTATTTGGTGCCTCCGTCCCAATACAATGGACACAAATACAATTCTAGCACAGACGAACGTTATATATATAAATATCTATATGAAGATGTTGGCACAAGAACTTGTTTTTCCAGAAATTAATCTTGTGTTTTGCATAATCCTCAGACTTTAACTCTTTTCTAGCAAATATTTGTATTTAACCAAGTTAAGACCCGTTGAGATCAGCGATATCTGGCAGCATAAAAGCTTCCAGACTACACCGATAACCACAAGAGAAACATTCAACATTTACATTAACGTGTCAAATATAAGTAAAATAAAATAAGTGATTCGGGGGAAGCTTCCAGCGGAGACGGCTGAAAAGTTAAGTCAAAGTTATTTCCAAGGGCACAATTACTGGATGGATTTTGTGTCTGTTAAACGCAGGAAACAAGCTGTAAACGCTGTGTGTCTCATGTTTAAACTGCTGATATTTAATGGAGACTACTTCAGGTATAAATGAAGCCTCGTGAAGAATAGGAGTGCTGCAACTGTGCAACAAATGAGTATCTAACCGCTGTACTTTACCGAAGATAAAACAAATTAACCCTCCATTAAGCCCCTCTCCCCTTAGTTACTGTTGCTACGCCTATCAAGCTTTCTGTCCTAACATAAAGTTTAAAATGTTAGCAGCAGATTTACTTAGTTGAATAAGCAATTAAAACTTCCCCAAACAAAATAAAGAGCAGTTCAGAGTCGCTAAAGTTAGCCTAAACTGGGATTTAGGCTTGTAGCATCCAGAACTGGCTCCAAAACCTACAAAATGAAATATTTAGGTCCTGATATGTTGTTTAAAGTATTGCTGGGTTACTACTGTAGGTAGTAAGCTGACGTTAGCAGCTAGCATTAGAGCAAACAAACTCAGTGTTTATTTAATTCCTTTACTGTTCTTTCTCATGTTGTTGGTTTAAAAATGTATAACAGCAACTTCCAAACCCTTGGGGGGGAAGAGTTTAGCAAACAGTCAATTTCTTATTTGTAATTCTAGCTAGCTAGCTGGTGCTTCCAGAAAAGGTTTTCTTTGACTTTGCCAATTTAGGTTTCAAATTAAGTCAACAAACTTCGCCTGCAAAGCAGTTCTGTGAAGATTGTAAGTGTTTGGGGACATTAACAGACACTTTAACAGAGCCTTTAAAATGATTGCATCAATAAAATGTTGTTATTACTTCACAGTGAGATAACAAACACATCCCCGGACAGAAAAAAAACATCTTATTGTACAAGAAAACTGTACTAAAACACTTTTTTTACAGCCTATTTGTTGGTGTAATTTGTCAATAAGTCATCTAAATGCTGGTATTGATCTTCCAGCTATTGTTAAAATACATTTTAATTTGGCAGATGAGTCACACTGACTGTCACAAGATATCAGCACTCCTATTCCACAGGCTTCATCCACGTGAGTGTGAATAGTGACATGAACTATATTTACTGCACAGACTGATATATTTTATGCATGTTGAGTTGTTGTACAGAATCTATAATATCTATTCTATATTTTTTAAAATAGTCGATGTTTAATGTTCTTAAGTATTTCCCAAGATTTCTATGGTATTCACACGTCTGCATGCTCAGTTCTAGATCCCAGGTTGTATTACGGATGTGAGACAATCAGATTGTGCTGCAGATGTGATACAGTTGTGATACTCTGATGAAGTGCCTGTAACATTTCGAGATGAAACATATCCGCGGTGACAAAGAGATTATCCAAATTTGCATGAAGCCTTTTTTCGTCGTTCCCTGTGAATGCTGCTGTAGGACTGTATGCATGGACGGTGACTGCAGGGCGGGCGTCCTGATGTCGGGGCCAGGACCGGGGCTGAAGTCGGACCAGATTCAGTAAAGTCTACACGGGGATCGATAACCAAGATCACCTCAAAATACAAATATAGACCAAAATACGACTCAACTCACCGCAAAAACATCTGAGTAGTAATTGATCTTCTTATCTAAATCCTTAACAAGAGAACGAATAAGTAATTCCCAAAAATGTTAGTGTCAGAGTTTATTTTTGACATAAATTGAACCATATTCAAGATCAGAAACGGAAAATTAAAGATAAATGGTTATAATATTAGTCCAAAAACAAGACTTTTTTAAATTCTAAAATATACTTTATTATTTATTGTCATTTTTATATGTTTTAAATACATTTTTACTAAGCCCCGCCCCTTTTTGGTCAACTTTCTCCGCCATGTGCTAAGATAGTCTTTGCTGAAAAGAAACACATTTTTAAGATGGTTGAAAGATCAAAATTAAATATATAGTCGCATCTTAAGTTAGAAAACCTACTAAACGTACTAAAGCTACAGGTTAGCTAACATTAGCTATCATTGTTATTTGGGTGCAAACCAAAAAGGGGCGGGACTTAAGAAGGGTCAATAAAACACAAAAACTACAACACAGCTCTTCATTTTCTGAAAAGATCTTCACTGACAAAGTGGAACCCGTAGCTACAGTAGACAACACTGAGTCTTGTCTGACAGAGACGCCACAGTCCTGTAGAGACTGTAGACCTGCAGTCCCTTTAGAGACTGTAGAGACTGTAGACCTGCAGTCCCTTTAGAGACTGTAGAGACTGTAGACCTGCAGTCCCTTTAGAGACTGTAGAGACTGTAGACCTGCAGTCCCTGTAGAGACTGTAGTCCTGCAGCCCTGTAGAGACTGTAGAGACTGTAGACCTGCAGTCCCTGTAGAGACTGTAGAGACTGTAGACCTGCAGCCCTGTAGAGACTGTAGTCCTGCAGTCCTGTAGAGACTGTAGAGGCTGTAGACCTGCAGCCCTGTAGAGACTGTAGTCCTGTAGAGACTGTAGACCTGCAGTCCTGTAGAGACTGTAGTCCTGCAGCCCTGTAGAGACTGTAGTCCTGCAGTCCTGTAGAGACTGTAGTCCCGCAGTCCTGTAGGGGCTGTAGTCCCGCAGTCCTGTAGAGACTGTAGACCTGCAGCCCCGTAGAGACTGTAGTCCTGCAGCCTGTAGAGACTGTAGACCTGCAGCCCTGTAGAGACTGTAGTCCTGCAGCCTTGTACAGACTGTAGACCTGCAGCCCTGTAGAGGCTGCAGTCCCGTAGAGGCTGTAGTCCCACAGTCCCGTAGACGCTGTAGACCTGCATCCCCATAGAGACTGTAGTCCTGCAGTCCTGTAGAGACTGTAGACCTGCAGCCCCGTAGAGACTGTAGACCTGCAGCCCCATAGAGACTGTAGTCCTGCAGTCCTGTAGAGGCTGCAGTCCCATAGAGACTGTAGTCCTGCAGTCCTGGTCCGGGCCTGCGCATGCTGAGCCCCTGCGGCACCCAGAAAGCACTTTTTGTACCAAGTTTTGTGGTTGCCAATAAAACCCAGAAGATCCCTGCTGTGGGAACGTCTGTCTGCCATCTGTTTTCTTGGGTCCTTCTCTCCATCCTGAGCTCTGTTCAGATGTCTTAATTCTGAGAATGAGGCCATGATTAACAACAACACAACAACAACAATAACAAAAGTTCATCTCTCTGTGATTGGTAGTAGAGATTTCCAGTTTCACACAGGCTGGATTAGAGATTAAGGAAAGTATTTTGTGGTTTTTAAAGTGTTTTTTGGGGGAGTTTAATGTAATCTTTACTAACAGATGCTTTGGTTTTTATACGTGAATTTGCTGTTATGTTGTTGTTTATTAGCTATATAGTATATATATATATTGTTTAGTTTCTCAAAGTGCCTTTAAAGAACAGTAATCTTATCACATTGAATGATATTTCTAATCTCCTTTATATGTGATTTACAGTATTTCAGCATCATAAAGCTTATTTTCTGTATGCTGCTTGGAGGGAATCTCCTTTAATTAAGGAGCCAAATCCTCCTGGCTCTAAAACAAATAATAAACAAAGGCTGCTAGATAGTATTCCCTAATCTTTGTGGATATCTTAACATGTTCTCATCTTTTACTTCTTAATTAATTTATATGTGCAGCTTTAAACTGCTGCACTGAGAGCAACAGAGACGAGGACGGGAATTAAGTCCAGGACTTTGTAAAAATATATATCAAGTGTTGATGTCAATAAAATGCCAATACAGACAGACAGAAGCAGTAAACAGATTTTTATTAGTCGTTAACAATAATGTGAGAACTGGTTCAGTTTAATTAGTAATTGATTTTGGCAGTTTTCAGTGACAAAAACAATCAATCACAACAAAAATAAAGCTAAATGAACGTGACAGTTAAAAGAAAACAAACCAGTGTTTGACAGGATATTTACATTTTATCACTTTTTAAAATGGTATTGATCAATAACGATATATCGATCACCAATAACAGTTGAGTTAGTCAACTCCTAGATATGCTATATGCTAAGCTAAACTATGTTGAAAACAACCAGATTTCGGAGATGGTTTAAAGATAAAAGAGATATCTAGGTACGTCTGAAGTTGTAAGCAAAATGTTAGCTAACTAATGATTGATGTAAATTAACAACGCATTACGTTGTGTTTTGCTCACACAATGGATTTGTTTGTTGAATTGACAGATATCTTGTATAATTATGAAAGTTTTCACAACAAACATGTTGAATAAATGTTGTTTATCAGTTTATAAGTGTTGGTAAACTGTCCAAATACAGTTTTAATCACTGAAAACAGCAATAATTATGTAATTTCACAGACTTTTATTACAGTTCTATAACTTTTAAAATTCAGATTAAAATGAGAAAAATGAAATAATAACAGCACTCCTCTGTAAATTTAAGCCTAATATTTGTATTATAGCAGAGTTCACCTGGATTTATAGGGTTATAGGTCATTTCATTGTTTTTAAAGTGTAAATATCTTTAATTAAACAGTAAAAAGACAAAAATACACAACATTTTTTTGTAAAATGAAAAGCTAAAAACTGTATTTTAATCATAGTAAATTACTGTATTCAGTTTTTTATTGTTATATTTTGCAGACCAAAATATTTTGTACTTTTGGAGGCTGAATAGTTGCTTCAGTTGGTAAAAAGAGCACACACACACACACACACACACACACACACACACACACACACACACACACACACACACACACAAGACTGAGGATGGATGCTGCAGCGTCATCAGCGTACTCACTCAGTCTCCTAGCAACAGGAAACATCAGCCTCCGCGAGGACCAATGAGGGCGCGCGCGGAGCGGTGTGTGCTGTCTCGTGTTGCCGTGAACGGGATATTTTAGGAGGCTGGAGAGCAGCGAGCGTCTCACCCCCGGAGGAGCCGGAGCTGGCTGTCTGTCTGCCCGTGTGCGTGTGTCTGTCTGCAGGGACCGAGGGAGGCGCTGACTTCAGGCCGAGCAGGAGCGTCGCTGAGTCGGTGTGAGGACGGTAGATGTCGCGCCAAGGAGCGGAGGACATCCACGGAGAGAGAGGCTTTCACTGGGATTTACTGAACGGCTGCGGGACACATTTACTCAAAGGTACGGTGCTTTAATGGACATTTAACGGATTTATTGGAGGTGGAAACAGCAGCTGCTTGTCTTTAAAGCGAGTTTATTTGAACAGCACTTTTTCAAACACATTTAAAAGGATGAAATACATAAAAACACAATAAGAATGTGAATAAAATCAAATTGAAATAATAAAATAAAATAGAAATTGACAAAAAGATAATATAGGACTTAAAAAACATATAAAACCAAACTATTACTACTCATTAATCTCTGAGTTATGTTACTTTATTGATTAAAAAAAAACCCTTTTGAAATAAATAAACCATTGGATTACACAAACACTGCACACAGCTCATGGAAAGCTGATGTGTGTGATAAAATGTAAACTGAAAGTCTCTTAAATCAAGATCTTATTATTCAGTCACCAGTTAAAATTCAGTTGTTTTAACCCTTTAAACTTTCCCACCAATCTCAGCAAAGTTTAAGCATTTAAGGTTGGAAATTTATGACCTCCTGTGCACACATTCTGCTTTCAGTGGAAACACTAAAGAAAATGTAAAGTGTTGCATCCACACACACACACACACACACACACACACACACACACACACACTCTTCCCACGCATCCTCTCGCTTTCTCTCTCTCTCTCTCTGCTCATGTATCCATCATCGTGCTTCATTCTCCCACAGATGAAATATTCAGGCTGCAGTTGGATGTTAAAAACTGTGTGAGTCACCGCCGGCAGCTTCAGGGGAGCCGGCGTGAATGTTTCACAACCATAAAGCTTCCCACCCTGTGTTTATGATCAATTTATGGCGTTTTAAACACACACACACACACACACACACACACACACACACACACACACACACACACACACACACACACACTGCTCCTCTTCCTCCTTCTTGAATTTAAATGAGCTTTTTGCCCTTTAATGTAAAACCATTAAAGGGTCAAATCAGCTGTGATTCTGTGAGTGCTTTTATTGTGGAATTATATTAAATAAAGTGCAGATGTTTTAATAATATCTATTATATTTCATTTTTATATTACATCAAGCACATAAATATATATTCTCCTTTATTTTTTTATTTTTTTATTTTTAATTATTTTGTAATATTCTTTATATTTTCTTTATTGTTTCACATCCAGCCATTAGTTGTAAATAAATTTAATTAATAATTTAATGTGGAAATATATTAAATAAAGTTCAGATATGTTAATGATAATAACAATAATAATACAATTTATATCACATCACATACAAATACATTTAATAAAATAAATATGTCAGTATTATTTTGTTCTTTTTTAAGATAATATCTTTAAATGTTTTCACATTTTTTGCATTTGTTCGAATAAAACATAAAATTTTAAATTTCCTTCTTTGAAAATTAGTATAAAAATGTGGGAAACCTCTAGTTGTGCAGTTTTAATTAAAAAAAACTTGATGGTAAATAACAGATACTGAGATATACACACGTGTGTGTGTGTGTGTGTGTGTGTGTGTGTGTGTGTGTGTGCAGGTTTCACAAATGTGATTAAAGTTGAAGAAGCTCAAAGATAAAATTTAGGCTGCAGCTCTGACAGTATACAATCACATCTTCCGTCAGCAGTGTTTTTAGATATTTTGGTCTCTCCATCCTCCTCCTCTTCCTCTTCCTCCTCCTCCTCCTCCTCACTTGTCTCTCAATCTGTTCCTTCCCTGCAGGAGCCTGAGGGCGATGTGGAGGCTCAGATCGGCTCAGACACACTGATTCAAACTCCGGTTAGAGAGCTGAGCGTCGGCTGTGGAGCGTCAGCAGCAGGTAATCAGATCTGTTATCTCATTCACCTCCAGTGAGGTAATGTTATAGTCTTCCTCTGCAGTTTATTTTGGAGGACTTGGGGACGCTACTGGGACCTCAACTGATATCAGGGCATACTTTAAACCCTTAATAGTGATATTATATGGTCTGTTTTATATTTATGCGTTGTTGGTTGTGGACCCCTGCTACTTTAATGGCAGCTAATGGGGATCCAAGAATAAAGAATATTGTTTTTGGCCACTTGGGGGTAGTGCAACGAGCCGTTATCACAACATCGACATATTATCGCCTCAAAATTAGAATGACAAACATGTTAGCAAACAATATAACACTTACAGCAGACAGAGAAACATTTCAGCTTTCATATGAAAACTAATATCTTTATATGTTTTAGCTCTGGTTTGGTCTCCTGAGGGAAATATTTGGCTCTTTATTTGCTAAATTTTCCACTATGTATATTTATAGGCTGTAAAACCAAAACAGTGAGTTAAAAAAGGCTAAAAAGCTCAGTAGAGCTGAGGGGAACTGCAAAATTGTGTTAAAGACAAGGATTAATATGGATTATAGCAGATTTAAAGGTAACCCAAAAGAGTTTTAGTGTCAAATGATGAAAATCCTGTTTCAAAGAAAGATCCTAACTCAAAGTCAACTTACTAGTTCTCAGCAGAAGACCATGAGATCAGACTTAAAAAAAAACTTAAAAGTTTTACAAAATTCAAGATAATCCATTGGGACGGACTCAGGTTGTTATTGTCAGTGTCTGACAGCATTATGGAAAGGATCCCTACAGAGATAGACCTTTAGTTTAACCACAAACAGCCGTAATATCACTATCACTCCATAGAGAAAAACACTAATTTTACCTTCAGATCATCGTAACTTCATTCAAAGTGGACAGAAACTAAATAAAACTCACCAAAACCATCTCTGTTAGTGTTTCCAACAATCACCAACTCTGGTTTGGTGGAAATAAATCCTTAATTCACCGATGTAGATAAACTAAATGTGCAGCCAGACTGGCTTTCTAAACAAACCACAGAGAGGCTGCGATAGCAACACAGGCAGAGGGAGTGTGACTCCACTTTATCGTTACATAGCAAATATTTGTTTGCTCCTATAGTGTGTGAGTGTTTAGATCTCATATATTAAACTTTTTTGTCAAAATATTAACTTTCACACTTCATATTCTAGATGTTGTTTAAAAGGTGCATTAAGAGCACAGTTTTGGAGGTGATATATATATATATATATATATATATAAAAGGAGTATGTGAGTTCTTGTGCACAAATTATTGTTCATCAGCAGCCTCAGTCTGGAAATAAAAGGATCTGTATAAGCCCTCAAATTCTATGGTTTTCTGTGAAAGGGTCTTGTGATGAGTCATAACCTTAGAGCAGCTCATAATGAGCTTTATTTAAATGTCAGTTAATCACACTGATCTTTTTAAAAAGGTAATTACTGGATTCATCTTTTACCCATTTACTTACTCAGCAGTGTAAAACCTGATAAGTTAATTTAACTGAAAAGGAATTGCTGAAACTGATTACATCGAACTCAAAACATATTCTTAATTAAGCAGCTTTTACTAGTCATTTTATGTGACGCTGACTTAATTCTCTAAAATCTATTTGTACTGTTAAAGCCAAATACTTAGATAAAAAGAAAAATATGAATAAAAAGAAAAATGTACTTAATTAGGAGTTAAAATAACATATCATATTACAGTGAGTATCAGTTGATAGATTGTAAAATATATAATACATTGGTTATTCGTGAAGCTTTTATTTAGTGGAAAACTTAAAGATGCACTTTAATTTTGTTATTGTTCTCCAATCCACCCATTTTCTCCAAGCTCACTTTCGATGTTTTGAAACTGCAGTTCAGAAACATCCATTTTAGTCCCTTCAGAGTGTAAAACACAAACTCCAGCACATCTGCTAACAGTAGCATAAAACTCAGCGTTGCAATAATTTAAATGTCCCCCGGCCTTCCTTCTGTTAGATTTGTCGTCTAATGTCTGTTCTGTTGCCTCCAGCAGCCCCTTCCCTGTGAGAGAGACCAAACCATTCAACAACGTCGAAAGTTGCTTACTTCAAGAGGAAATATGCGGAGGAGGAGGATTTACGAGGAGGCCTACGTGGATATTTTCAAAAAGTACGAGAGCTCTTGTTTTCCCCTTATTGTTCACATTTCTTCCACCATTAAAGTTCATCTTGTTGTTTAAATTCTTCAAATATTTCTGACATTCAGCTACAAAAAGGTCACCTCTCTGTGCTCTTTATTTTCTACTTTTTTCTGTATGTTGTCATTTATCAGTCTTGAGCCTCATCATCTCCTCCATCAGTTTCCCATCACATTTGTGTCAGTCTTTACATGTTGTCTAAAAGAGTCACTAACAATGCTCCACTCTTTCTCTGCTTCTATGCAGATGAGACCGTTGTGTTCATGACAGATTTTTGAGGCGCAAGTGCTGCTCTTTTAGCTCCCCCAACCAGATTGATCCTGATTACATCACATAACGTTGATGATCTCTCCTCTCTTTTGTAAAAGAAGTGGATTTGTCATGTAGCATTAGCAAAAACAAGCTAACATGTTAGCTGCTGACACAGTCTCGCTCCAAAACCAGATAATTTTCCTTGTGTTATATCAAGAGATCTTTAGGTAAATCCATGTTCTGTATGAAAACTTTACGAGAAACGTGAGAAAGTAGCAACACAAGGTGAAACAACATGGCTTGTTTCTAAAAGTTTGATTATTTTAGTTAATTCAACACTCTACTGTCTAAATCTGTAAATGTTGATTTTATTACACTGATAGTCCAGAAAAGTTGGAATTGAACCTGCACTGAGAATGAAAGTTGAAATTGAATTTACTGACGGTGAAAATTACATTTTTGACAACGTAGGAACAACTTTAAATAATATGTAAGACAGGAAATACCCACACAGTGCCTGTTCGTAACCAATTCTTCTTTTTATTCTCGGCTTTAGAGACTTGATTTTACCACAAACTGCGATTTAAGGATGTGCAACTTAGATACCATGTCGAAGAACTTCCCAAATCTGTTCATGTCTCCTTTTAATTGTTTCCCCGTTGAGTTACACATCCTAAAAACTTGAAGTCGTTTCAACAAATCGCATTCAGTAGAGACGTTTCTACTTTTTCTGATTATGTGAATCACATGAATGTTTTAGCTTTGTATCCACTTGTAGGAGCTGCAAATCTGAGCGTATTCCTCTGAGATCCTCCCTTTAAAAGTATAGACTAGTGAAGTGTCAAGTAAAAATGTGAAGGCATGAATAAACTAATCTTCTTTCATTGCATTTCCCATCTGCAGCACCTGATACTGCAGGAGGACCGGAGCTGCATCCTGAAGCTGTCCCTGGAGAAGCTGAGGTTCCTGGAGGACCCTGAGGCCTACCTGCGGCGCTCCGTCCTCATCAACAACCTGCTGAGGAAGATCCACCATGAGGAAGAGGAGCTGGAGGCGGAAGAAGAGGAGGAAGAAGAAGAAGAAGAAGAAGAAGAAGAAGAAGATGAAGTAGAAGAGGAAGAAGAAGAAGAGGAAGAGGAAGAGGAGGTGATAGGTGAGAGGGGGCAGCGGAGGCTGTTGTACCCGGACAGGAAGAGGGTGAAGGTGCTGGTGATGGACTGCCGCTCTCCGGGCTTCGGCCTGGAGGAGCTTCAGCACTACCGGCTGGTGCCCTGTTACCCGTCAGCCGGATGCCTGTACAGCCTGGGTACCTGCCCGGGTCTCGCCCCCAACCATCAGGTCCTTCTGTACAACCTGGACGACAATGGATGACTGCCTCTTTTCAACTCTGGGAAATGCAACGTCAGTTCATGTTAACGGCACGTGGACAAAAACAACCCGGAGGAAAGCTTTCCTCTCTGGGGTTTTCCACTTAAAGACCTTCGAGGGAACATGTGTCGTGGGGTCTGTTTTGTTCGTTGCCAGGATGTGTCCTCCTCTCGAGGCAGCGGTGGATCTGAGAAACCCTGATTCTTCTTCTGCCTCAGGATCAACAGGGTCTCTGATGTTGATGTCAAACTCTGTCGCAGCGTCACTGCCATTCACTCTGAAGCAGTAAAGGATTTTATTTTTGTTTTGTTTCTGTTGCTGTTGATGTTGTGTTATTGTTGCTCATGTGAACCGTGAGCGTATTCAGGGATTTACAGACTGCAGGCTACTTTTTGATGCACCTTGGCTTGCGTGGAGAATATGCGCTGATATGCTTCTGTTATCTTTTTATGCTACAATGTGATTTATGAAATATTCTGTGTAAACATTCCCTGGACCGTGTGAATTGTCATACTATCTCAAGATATCCTCTGAGGTGCTTTACTGCCTGTGGGAAGACTGTTTCTCTCTCTGTATTTGACGTCCTGTGTTCATTTTGCATCACTTTGCTGCCCTCTGCTGGTGAAAGAATTAATTTTGAAGCCCTCGTTAGTGGCTGATGTGTTCAAATCTCATAATGCAAGAAAGAAATTGAAGACAACACTTGACTTTAAGGCCCCTTATTTAGTATTTATAAGCAATATACAATAATTTAATAATTTATAACAGACGATAATGCAGTTGTAAGCATATATAAGTGTTTAATCATGTATTTCTCAACCACTATAACTCCTCCTGTGGGCACCTATAAGTGGAGGCTGGTGTATAAACATATTGAATGACAGTAAAATACAGATATAATAATATAAAATATGCTTTCTTAGGAGAAGTTGTTGAAAAAGACTGTACATTAACACTTAAAATGCCCTTTAAATCTACATACATACAGTATATTGTATTATAAACCATATTAAGTGTTTGTATAGTGCTTATAAATAGTTAAGGTTAAAGTAAAGTTTAACCTAAAAGGGCAATCATGTTTTTTTGTTGTTTTCACTTGTCAGTTTTTGCTTTGTTGTGGTTTAAAAAAAAGAAAGATGGCATCTCTTCTCATTGTCTTCAGCTCTAAGAAGTCACAACATTTTTTTCTTTCTGCTACCAAATCATTTGTTTGTGAATGATTTCCCGCCATGTGGTGTTTTAAAGCTGAATTTCAGAGAGCAGAATGTCTTTAAATTGATATTATATTCCAGATTTTCTCAGTCCGGGCTAAACAGCTGCTGCAATGCTGTGACAGGGACTTCAGAAGATATTTTATTATTTAATGTGGCACAATGTTTGCTTTATAAAGCTGACTAATCTGCTGTAAGACAACAGTGATTAATGATTCATCCTTTTCTAGTGTCTCTGTATGTGTTTTGAGTCTCTGTCCAGGAGTTTCACTGGGTTTGAAAACTTGTATCTTGATAACAATCACTACAATGGAAAAAAAACAACAACAACAAACTGCAGGCAACTATTAAAGAGAAGCTTGATATTTTAAAACAAGAATTTATATTTTGATGAAAGTGCATATTCCATATTTAAGATAAACTATTTTGAAAAAGGGCCATTCAACTTTTTTTCAGGTGATTGATTATCAAATAAAGTATGTAAGGTGAACATCTTTGTGCGTTTTAATGCATCTTTGTGTAGTGATACAAGTAGACATAGTAGTAACAGATATATTTACACATCTATCTATCTATCTATCTATCTATCTATCTATCTATCTATCTATCTATCTATCTATCTATCTATCTATCATTATATATAATATTATAAGTATAATTGTACTCAGTATTTCTGTTTTAACGTCTGTGTTTGGGGTTATTTATATATATTAAATATGTGTAAATTGCCACATGAATGGATACAGACGAAGCGCGGCCACGTTACGTCGTTACGTCTTGAGCTCATCTATTGTACGTGCGCGCCGCAGCTACTGTTGCCTTCAAGTGCTCCTACCAAACTCAAACTTTAGAGGCTCAAGTCCTAAAAGGTTTCAAATAAGTATCCAGATAAAACAAAACAGCCCCTTCTGGAAACAAGATAATAATGAGCATGAAAGGGCATCCTAGAGATCCATTTTAAGACCCCCACATCAGTACAATGCATGACTATAAGGGGACTCCAGAGAAAAATAGGCAAAAAGGAGGAGCTGAGGCGGGCTGAATGAAGCCTGGGGTACCTGTCTCTAGAGACCAAAACCTTTTTTGTACCAGGCTGTAAACATGTTTATTTCTGTTGTAAAGTTCAGCATTTCAATCACTCCTGGAGCCAGCCTCTAGTGGCCGTTAGAGGAACTGCAGTTTCTGTTACTTACGCGTTTTATTTGCAGCCGCGGAGGCAGCGTATATTATAGTATATATTATAGCTTTTGGGGGGAGTTTTCTGCACATAGCTGCAAGCACTTAGGGCTACTTCTGATATTTAATAATCAGTTAATGACATACATACATCAATAACAGCCTAATTTTACATGTAATCATGATAAAGATACAGCACAATATAAATGCATGGCAAAAACAGCATAACTTCAGTATTTTAATATTAGTATTTCCCCAAAATTGCACTGATTATACACCTCGCTGAGAATATTGTATTTAATTTCTGCCAATAAATCCTCCCAAATGTTACACACTGGACCTTTAACGTGACCAAAGTTTGGCACATGGACGAAGAGTGGGGAAATTTCCGACAGCCCCTGAAGGCAACAGGAAAGGCGCGCTCCCCGGACTGCTCCGTTTATCTGTCAGTTGCAGGATAACCCCCCCCCCCGGTAGCGGGACACTGAACGCGGCTGGCCACTACCGGACAAGAATCCACCCGTTCGGTTGACCCGGTACCGTCTTACCGCGAACACTAGCTCATCGTTATTGGAATAAAAACTTCCCGCCGTCGTAAGTTGTGACCGTTAAAAAAAAAAACGGGCTCGGGGTTTACTCTGCCATGATGCACGGGTTGGCTAAGAGCTAACAGTTAGCCGGTGTTTGTGGGGGGAGAAGCAGCGGAGTCGGTGCTCCTTCTTTCGGCCGTACGGCGGGGTGAACAAACCGGATTAAACATGGAGAAAAGTAACCGTTTGATAGAGCTGTTTGACTATCTCCAAGACCCGCACCTTGTCGCCCGCTTTCAGCGCTTTTGTGGGGTACGCGGGACGTTTTCGGGGACCGTCTGCGCTGCTGGTACCGCCGCCTCCACCTCCTCCACCAGCAGCGGCAGCAGCAAGGACGCAGCCCGGGCTCACTCGCTCAATAACGGGGTTTGCCACCAACACATCACCGCTGAAAATGAGAGTGAAAACTTAATCGGAGCCGGCGAAGGGGAGAAGGTGCAGACAGCAGCGGGTGTTAGGAAGAGAACCGCGGATGCTAAGGTGAAGAACCACGGGGAGGAGAGTGAAAATCCTCCCCGGAACGGAGCGACGATGCCCGCAGCGGCCGCCGGCGGAGAGACGACCGGTGCGGGCAGTGAAGTTACCCCCGGACGCAGCACTCTGAAGCCGCTCCGCAAAAACTCTCTAACGGGCGACACCGGGCAGGAGTTCCTGATCGAGAACCGGTTCCTCTACTACCTGTTCACCTTCGGAACCGAGCTGGGCAACGAGTTCTTCTACATCGTCTTCTTCCCCCTCGTCATATGGCTGGTGGACGCGTTCGTGGGCCGGAGGCTGATCATCGTCTGGGTCTGGGTCATGTACCTGGGTCAGTGCACCAAGGACGTGATCGGCTGGGCTCGGCCCGCTTCTCCACCTGTGGTCAAAGTGGAGATGTTTTACAACTCCGAGTACAGCATGCCGTCCACACACGCCATGTCGGGCACGGCCATCCCCTTCTCCCTCTTCTACATGACCTCCGGCCGGTGGGAGGTACAGTACACCCCTGGTTCTTTAACAAGGAACCCATTAAGTGACACATATTTTAATATAATTATTGAATACATGTCAATAACTGCACAGAGTAACTGATAAACTGTGCAATGAACAACAAATAGTGACTGCAGGAAGTTTGTGTCAACCAGAGATTTTGGTGAATTTAGATCAGATTATTATTAATATTAATCATTTTAATCAGTTTCTTTATTAAGGCTGCGCAATAAATCCAAATATTATCGAAATATCAATATGACCAAGTGCAATATGCAAATTGAAAGAGCTGCAGTGTCTTATTTTAATTGATTTTTTTTTAGTAAAAATTAAATTTGTGATGCAAAAATTATGATTCCCACACTAATATCATAGAATCATATCGCAATATATGTTAAAATGATCGCAATATGATGATTTTACCATGTCTGCAGCTCTATTTAATGCAACAACTGTACAGTTAACACATTAACTGCAGGAAGTTTGGGTTAAAAGAGCGATATTTGGATGAATTTTGAGCCGATTTGTTTCCTGTGAATATTTATCAAAGATGAGTTTTCCTGATATTTTAACATTTATACTTGCTAAAACTTTCACTATATCCAGAGAGTAGCACGAGCGGATAATATGTGAAAAAATCGGGTTATTCTGGCTCCTATAATCCACCGATCAGAGCCGAGAAAGATAATTGATTTCAATATCAGAAAATATGAAGTTATTTTAAATTCCCTGCTGCAGCTTTAAGTCAAAGTGTTAAACAATATCTTAAATCTGAGTCGGCATCAGGAGAGAAGGAGAAGCTGGAAGGAGTTACTTCCTCCTTTTCAAGAAGGAAATTGAGAAAGTTCCTCTTGTGAAGTTTCCCAATATTAGCAAGCATTGGTCTGAAAAAACTGCAACCCTGAGAGGTTTATGGTGCACAGTTAATCCAAATATTGTGATTTAACTGTGCAAATATATGAGAAAACATCAAGAATAACATGTTTGTGTGGTGCAGACCTCAACAACTGTCACATCGTCATCATTTTAATTGTTTTATTGTTGTTTTCTGCCAGTAAAATGTAACTTTAACCAGTTACAACCTGCAGAAATCCTGCGTTATGCATCGTCACAGTGCACAGAATCAGCCAAAAACCCCACTTGGCTTCAATCTACTATTATACATGGCCTCTGTAATCCTCTACCCCCCCCGCTATGCTACAACAACACAAAGAGCCAACTCTTGATACAGGATCACTGAGACTTTGCCCTCTGAAGTCAGTCTTCTGAAGCTGTGTCATTAACAATGAATGTGCGGTTGGTTCGGTGGATTCAGTGACAGAAGCCCGGGCGGCTGTACAGCTGTGTGAGCAACGTTTGTTGACTCTTTACTGCTTGTACTACGCCGTAGTCAAGCTCGCCGTGGACGCAACACGACTAAAAGTCTACAGTCCACGTACATACAGTCCCCAGTTGAGGCTGTAATGCTCATTAAACAGCAGGAAACAGAGTTTTTAGGTCATATTTTTGGGGAAAAGTTAATTGGTTTTAGCTTCCAAAATGTAAATATTTGATAGTTTTCTTAGTCTGATTTAATAGTGAATTTAATATTGCGCGTTTTGGACTTTTAATCCGACAAAACAGGCAATTTAAATATGTCAGCTCAGGCTTTAGGTAGTTGTGATGGGTGTTTTTCACAATTTTCGGGGATTTTATCGGCCAAATAATGAAGATTAACTGTGAAAATACACAGCAGATCAATGGATTATGAAACTATTTCGTTAAACCTCAGTTGTGCTTTGACTTTGAGCTAAATAAGCTAACTCGTTACCATTGCTGACATCAATGAAATGAAAATGAAACCAACACTGAAGTAACACAAAGCTGCAGTTCCTCTAACGGCCACTAGAGGCTCCAGCAGAGAGTCAATCTCCATAAGGCCTCATATTAAAATGCCTAAACACTTATGGTCTCTATAGCTAATAGACAACTGTACAGGGGAGTGGACTCTGGACATATTAGCATGTTAATAGCTCAATAAGTAACGCTTTTCATGCTACATATTCAAAGACATTTTCAAAGTGTCCCTAAATCATTGGAATAACACGCCTGGAAGGAATTTTGTTTTTACAAGCCATTCCCTGTTGTCCTTCCCTTCATCTCCTCCCATTCACTCGGGAGGAACAGGACCTCCATTGTGTCCAGTCTGTTAAAGCCAACAGGGAGTCTGTGTAGTCCACTTCGATTGTCTTACAGTGCATCCACACGGCGAGGAACGGGATCGACGTACCGCGGGAAGTCTGTTTGAGTCTCGTAGACGAGGAAATCCAGTGTGTGGATGCTTCTCAGGCTCCTCGCTCTTTGCTGTAGAGCTGCAACAATGATCTAATTTCGTTCATTTTTCTTGAAGAAATATCGAACATTTGACGGGTTAAGCCTCTAAAATAGGAGTAATTGTCACTTTTCACTATGTTATCATTGTAAATTCAATATATTTGGGTTTGTAGGACAAAATTAACAATTTAACGGCGTCAGATTGGGCTCTGGGAAATTGTCATTGTCACATTTCTCACTATTTTCTGGCATTTTAGAGACAAAAAAAACAAATTTGAACTTGTCATTGTGTCCCAAAGGCGTACGTAATACTAATTCTACCTGCGTTTTAAGTATGTTCTTGCGTTGTTAGTTCAATAACTCCAGTAATAGAACATCTTTCTTGTTGATTTAAGCCTCTAAAATAGGAGTAATGTCCCAAAGGCGTACGCAACACTAATTCTTAAGTATGTACTCGTGTTGAAGTACATTCACACTGGTGAAATGACAAAAATAAGTGTACTTAAAGTGTGGAGAGTGGTTCAATAACTCCAGTAACAGAACATCTTCTTCCTTACTGATTTGAGGCGTTTATCTGCAGTTGTTGCTCAATGAGGCTGCACTGATTACCACTTCTCGTTAGGTAGATACTGTTATTACTACTGTAGCAGCTATCCTATGTGTCAGTGCAATTCCCATAATGCCTTTATTGTATATGTCATATTCTCCAAAAAGTCGGCTGATGTTTAACAGTCATTATTTTTGTAAAATGTGGGAAAAAAGGCCCAGATTTTAGAAGAAAGAAACAGACAGAGGATCCCTGTATTGTACTGCTTGAATCGCAGCAGGCGAGAGCAGAGGTGGCATTGATTTACGACACTCTGCCTCCCCGTCTGTCTGCCAGAGGAGGAGATAACAGAGCCGACCCCCCCGACCTTCGAGTGTGAGACTCCAAGATAAGATTGATTTAGCTCTCTCAAGACTCACTGTAACAACAGGTCTTTCTCCACTCGTCAGCCTGAGTTTGGATAAACACGAGCGGTTTAAAGCTCTCACATTTGGCAAAAAGAGTCCGTTCACGTCTTGTTAAACACTTTATACAAAACAATCTATTCAAGGTCTTAAAATACAAACTGCTGCTAGTGTGGAATACCTGTTAAACCTGATGCTCGCACGCTAAAGTTTGAGTCTCGAATGTCTAGCTGGGGTTTAAAACGTCTTAAATTGCTGATTCCTTCAATGAACGCAAACAAAAACAGCACCTTATTAGTTGTCTCAACACTTACATCCTCTTTTAAGCTGCTGGTTCCCAACATTTTTCCTTAAAGGGACCCCTTTTCTATCATTTAGTAAACTTATTAAGTGACATATTTTATACATATTTCCTATTATATTCGAAACTGTTCAATGAAGCCAAACAGTGTTAAATAATAATAATGTAAAAACCAAATAAAAAGCGAGATTAAAAAGGTCTTTAATTTCCTTTTTTTTAAAGAAGAGAGCTCGTCCTTTTACTGTCCAGAGACAGTCGGTTCAGCAGGTTAGGGGCATAAAAACAGAAAGCGCTCTCCGTCTGTTATCGGTCTGATATTGTGTCGTGTGAATCCGCCGTTACTCAGAGTCGTGATTCATTAATATCTGCAGTTTATCTCTGACTCTGGTGTCAGCAATTTGATGGAGAGCTGCTGCGGAAACGCTGTCTGGACACAGTTTGAACAGTCCTTTGTCTTAAAGCTACCATATTATTATCATTATCGCTCACACTTTCAGTGATACGTGAGGTAGCAGGATGTTCTGTGTAAATTTCAGCTTCCTGTTAGAACGACGTGACTGGAAAATTTTTCAATGAACAGTGTAGTTTTACCGGATTCTTGAATATTGACAGAGTTGGAAAGGATGATACAGATTTAAATGGCTGAATGTGAAGTTCCTGAGGACGTAGTTTATCAACCAATGTCTAATGTTTAGTTTTTGTTTATTTTTAGGGGGTCTAGATTACGTAATACCTGCATTTAGTGTCAGGAATTATAAAAAATGGGTTCAAAATGAACTTGAGAGATTGAGAGATAAATCAGGCTTTGTCCTTTCGCGTCCCTCGCTGTTTGCCGTAGCCGCTCTGTGAGCTTTCCGGTTGAATCGCAGCCTCAGATGACTTGTGTGAGCAGAGCAGGAGTGTTTGGGTTTGGATGAGCCACAGTCAGATGGTCCTCTTCCCGTCCCACCACCGCCACCCTCCTCCAGCTCAGACAGTAACCAGAGCCAGATGTCTCTCTGTGGAAGATACTGGTCAGAGTGGAGTAAGGGAGGGGACGAGGGACAGGACAGAAAAGAGCAAAAGGGACGGAGGAAGCAGAGGAAGGATTAGATAGTAGTAGATGAGAGGAGATTAGACGAGACGAGACTCGAGGGAAAGAGATGGAGAGAAGAGAGGATTAATACAGAAAAGTGAGGGGGCGGAAGAAAGATAAAAGAAAATGAGACGGAGATAAGAGGAGAGGATGAGCGGAGGAAAACTGATGGAGAGCAGATAAAAACCGAAGATGTAAAAGGAAAACTGTGGTTTTAGTACCCTGCCATAAATTCACATGACGTTTCCCAGCAGAGCCGGAGCAGAAAGCATGATGGGTAAACAGGCTTTGTGTGAGACTTCCTCCCTCGAGCAGGACCATTAGGTGGGAACACTACGGCTCTTCCTGCAAACATGAATGATTTTAACAGTATAGCCAAAATGTTCCCTAAAGCATCAGCGAGTCCGCTGTCTGTCCGCTAACATTTAATATAATTCTGAAATGTTTCTCATTGTATAAATCATTATAGACTTAATTCATTAATAGACTGGTTATGTCCTTACACATCAGTGTAGTGTGCAGTCTTCAAATCAGAATCAGAATTACTTTATTGATCCCTGGGGGGAAATTGGATGCTAAAAGTTGCTAAACAAGACATTAAAAGAATAGAAATAATAAGAACAAACGTATGTGCATTATATTACAGTATATAACAAAATATAGAAAGTAAGACATTAAAAATATGTACACATCCCCATATAACAGCAGTGTAATGAATAAATACTAATGCTGAGAACTGGATCCCTGAATACGTGTGTACAGTATAACTGAAGTATTAATGATTAATGAGTAAACCACAGTATTAATCTGTATAAATGTCACCATACAGGTTATCTGGGTACTAGTTTGTTTTTCTCTTGTTGACATGTGGAGCTGTAAATTTATAAAGTTTGTAGTCCGCAAATTAAATCGTAACAGCGATAATAGGTAATTAGGTGAAGACTTGTACTGTGTGTGTGTGTGTGTGTGTGTGTGTGTGTGTGTGTGTGTGTGTGTGTGTGTGGTGACGTCAGGGAGCACAGAGCAACCCAACACTGAGGCTAACAGTCAATAAGCAGTGGGTAAAGAACCACAAGCCACACAAAGAAAAACACCATGTCCATAAAACTTTGCATGAGGCGACCGCCGCTGCACCGCCGTGGTCACGGGCTCGACGCCACAGCGAGCATGCAAACACGACCGTGGGACCCGGGCACACACGCGCTGTTTGGACAACATCTCTCCCTCGCCTCGACCTTCCCTCCCCTCACACTTGATGACAGTTTTTCCCCAAACACAGCATTGGTGTGAGCGTGTCGAGGGCGGCGGCGGCTGCGTCTGACCCCTGACTACGCAGCTAATCCACACACATAAAGAGGCCTCTTTCCAACCATAAACCTCCCTCTGCGCTGACCTCGTTTCTGAGAACTCTCCGTCTATAATTGACACTTTAAAGTGAAGCCTTGTGGTTAGAGGGACACCTGTAGGAGGGTCTCACAGGGGGGGTTGTCTGACTGTAACCACACTGATGCAGCAGCTTGTGATCAGCTGTTGGTGTTTTGTCCTTGCCTGCTGCTCTAAATACTAAATATAAATGCAGAATTATTGAGAAGAATATGAGAGATTATGTTTGTAACTCTCAAATGCCGACTGTAGGTAGTTGGTTTAAAATTGGGGGGGGCAAGAGACTACAGCACAGTGACAATGCTAGCAGGTATAACGTTTACCATGTTCATCATCTTAGTTTAACATCTTTAAAATCACGTAAAACACAAAGTACAGCTGAGGCAGATGGGAGTATTTTTGCAGCTTTTTGGTCATAAACATGGACGGCAAACTGAAGGATCAACCAGAAATAATACAATTCACCAAGTGGAGCGTTGATCTGTGCACCAGATTTCACTGAAGTCCATCCCAATTGTTCACTCCTAACCAGGAACGGGAACCTCATGGTGGCTTAAGGAAAAGCCAGAGGATCACCAAAGTCTGTAGGCGTAGCCCTCGGGCCACCACGAATATCTGTTAAAAAAATCACGGCAATCCATCCAGTAGCTGTTGTACGACGGAGTATTAGGGCCAGACTAAGAGAAAACATTTTTTTTTTTGGGGGGGGATTATGAGAATAAAGTCATGACATTACGAGAATAAAGTTGTACTATTGCGAGAATAATTATTACGACTTTATTCTCGTAACGTTACGACTTTATGCTGGTAATATTATGACTTTATTCTCGTAACGTTACGACTTTATGCTGGTAATATTATGACTTTATTCTCGTAACGTTACGACTTTATGCTGGTAATATTATGACTTTATTCTCGTAACGTTACGACTTTATGCTAGTAATATTACGACTTTATTCTCATAACGTTACGACTTTATGCTGGTAATATTACGACTTTATTCTCGTAACGTTACGACTTTATGCTGGTAATATTGTGACTTTATTCTCATAATTTCCAACATATTATTCATTTATTGATTTAATTTTTCCTCTTAGTGTGGCCCTAATACTCCGTCGTACTGTTGAGATATTTCAGTCTGGTTTCATATACATAGATGCAGCTATGAAAATAGTTTCAAATGAGTCTCTTCTCAGAGCTTGCATGGAAAACTTGAACAATAGCACAGAAGATTAATGCCCCAAACTCCAGCACGAGTTTTAATAACTTCTTGAGTTAAATCTGGATGAAATATTTCATTAAAACGTGCATGAAACACTGTTTTTTATCTACTCTTCCATTATGTACAAGCTGTGATATCAGTGCATGCCTTTGGATAAAGGTGAGTGTTTAGTTCAGCAACAGCTACGCTGGCAGATAAGCAGCCATTGTTTGGGACAAAGGTTATCGCTGTGTTACAGAACTTACATTTGTGCTGTAATATATTAAGAGGCTGGAGTTCAGCTCCCACCGTTGGCAGCTTTCTATCGTCGTATCCATCAGACTAATGCACGTTTAATTCAATCACACTCAAACACTGGCTTCAGGAAGAAGTCTGGCATTGTTGCAGCATTTAAAACAAAGTAGATAACATGTAGAAGTTTACAGGCTGACACATTTACGAGGACAGCGGGGTTCATAAAGTGATATCAGCCTGCAGTGTCGCTGAGACATTAGCTTCTTTGTGTGCTGCACACCTCCCGCAGTGCAGCTCATAAGCTCCTCACTGTTACTGCTTCAAAAACTTCAGATGTTACGGAGATAATGTTGCTGATGCCACAGGCTGGACTTCATTGTTTCTCAGCTCTGTTGTCTAAATGAATGTTCATTTAAATTGTAGTCGCTCGGTGATTACGAACATGTTTGTATATTTAGTAAAAAGCTCAATATTGAGGTAATAATTCGATTTATTTAGCAAATGTTTTTCACCTCTAGCTGCACAATAAAATGTGTTAGTGTAAGGTAGCTCTTTCTCAGATTTACGTGTGGTGTGCAGCTAACAGATGTTTGCAGTGTCTCAGGCAAATTCATCAAACGCCGTCTTATCGCTGTTTCATTAGCATCAACAGCTCTGGTGTGTCATTTCTCCCTGAAGGCTGGAGGTGTGGGAGTCGCAGTGATGGTGTGAGATTTAGTGTGTGTGTGTGTGTGTGTGTGTGTGTGTGTGTGTGTGTGTGTGTGGAAATGTGAGCTATCTCAACAACAGGAGGCCACAATGAAGAGAACAAAAGGCTTTTAGCAAGTGTGCAAAACCTCATCTGTCTCCCGGTCACTCATTTTATTTCTCTTTCTTTCAGTCGGACTGGCTGCGTTCAATCCACGATTACTTCTCATATCCACCTTTTTTTAAGATCAGTTAATGAAACGATTAGTCAATATACAGAATATTTGTATTATTTGGCAACTATATGGACTGAATTTATCAGATTTTTCAAGCTTAAATGGCAAATATATCTTTATTTTAGCCTTTAGTTGTTTAATGTGAGCTGAATAGTGAACTTTGGGTCAGAAACTAGACACATGGTCATTTTTGGATTGATTTTAATCTCTAGTTTGCAGCCCTAATCTCTAAATCCTGTTTTTATCAATAGTTCACATTGTATCTTATATTTTAATACTACGGCTGCCGCGGAAACGATAATGAAAATAATCATTGTAATGTGTTTTATGTGATAGTGAACTGAACTGAATGAATAGTTTGTGTGAACCAGATCAGAACTGAATAACTGCGACACTGTGCAGCCTTAATAAGAAGAAAACAAATAGTTTGAGTCACATGGGGGTTAAAATAATCTGACTTTGGACACTTTGAGCTGCAGTGTGAACCCAGCCGTCCTACAAGGCCTACAAGTACATCTGATAAGGAAACAGCAGGAATATTTATGAGGTTGTGAGTCCAGCTCCAGGAGATACTACATCAACTGCAGCATAATCTTTTTATTATCATTTTGATCACCAGGTCAGATCAATAAACACGCAGAGATATGATATATGCGCATATAGATTTTAGAGACTCATTAACAAATATAGTTATGGATTACATAATGTGAACTGGGTGCAGGTCAAAGGCAAAGTACAGGGAGAGATATACAGAGCAGAGTAGACTTTATGTGTATTTAAATAAATACAGCTTTGAAGTTTTCTTGCATATTGATTGTCACTAAACAAACCTCAGTGTGTGTTAAATGCATCTCTTTGTCCATTATCAGGTGAAAAACATCAAACAAACTTCTCAAATATGAAGTATTGTGTGTCTATTTAATATAATTGTGATTTATTGTAACACTTTTGGGTATTTTGTTAATCGCAAACTCTAAAATCTGCCTAAATAACTACTTTAATCTCTAAAACACTGCGGCTGTGTGAAGTTATTTTTAAAAAACGGTCTCCTTTCACCTCCACAGTACCCGTTCTTACTGGGCTTCAGCTTGGCTCTCTGCTGGTGTCTGGTGGTCTGTGTTAGCCGAATCTACATGGGGATGCACTCGGTCCTGGTAAGTATACACACACACACACACACACACACACACACACACACACACACACACACACACACACACACACACACACACACACACAGTGAGAGATGGTGCCAGCCTTGTCGCCTGCAGTGCCAGCCTCCGTTTGAACACGATAGCTGACGCGTAGGAAACCGTATCCGACCAGCAGTCACCTCAGCTCCAGAACTGTGCTGCCGTCGTCAGGTTCTGGTGTCAGTGTGTAACTGAAGAAGTACAACACACAGAACAACAACACAAATATGATCTTCCTGTTTAGTTTTAACAGTTGCACAATAAGAGGTTTTAAAACTGGTTCTTAAACTGGTAATTTGTGTTGAAACCCGAAATACGTCGACCTTAAATGTCCGAACTGTGGGTCTTTGGTATGTTATTTGTATGGTGAGACTAGCAGAAAGGGTGTGAAACAGGAAACCTTCACACCCATTGATTTTAAGCAGGAGGTGGAATCTGAACTTAAGCCTCCAGACAATGCGTTTCCTGCTTTAGAAATGAGGAGAAAACAAACCCCAAGTTTAGCAACATCTGCGAGGTGTCTGCTTCTCGTTGACTGTACACGCAGCAGAGGTTGTGATTACTGGAGGAATGTGGCTGATGGGTTTCTGTACAGTGTGTCAGCTGTTTTCTGAATGCATTTTCATTCCCATATTCAGTTCATTCAGGCTGAAACATTCACCATGTCTTCGTAGATGTACAAACATGGTTGGTGGGAGGTTTATTTCAAATGTTGCAAGCTTAATTAATATTATAATATAATCATTTTGTTAAAATCCTAAAAACCGATAAAAGAAATTGATGAAAGAACAAATAAACTGTTTTCTGTCCAGGAGTCACAATGTCTCAGCGGTCCAATTTTTTTGCATTTTTGACCTCTTTCTGCTCTTTTCTTTCGGGTTTTAAGTCGGGAAGTCCCAATTAAGTATCTCTGACCCCAATCCAGGTCATTTAATATGGAGTATCTTCCGACACGAGTCCCGATCTGATACTTATATTTTATTCGATTATGCAGTTTCACCGTGCTCACTTCAAGTCCATTAAAGTTATTAAAAATCAATCCAGTGTATAAAACCACATTATAATGTTGTTTTTTTAAGATTCAAGATTTTGGTACACGTCCCCAAATATTTGTACTATGTTGCGCAGCCCTAAAACTGACCAAAGAAGGCAGCAAAGACCAGCAACTCCCACATTGTGCAAGATAAAATGCTCCATTGTTAATGTGTTTCAGCTGTTTGAGTGTCAGAAACAAGCACTTTTAGTGGTACTTTGACGGCCGCGTTTGTCCCAAGGATTACGTTGCAGCCTGTTTCGTCAAGGCAATTGCAAACCTTTTTGTACCTATGGAAACAAAGGATCAGGGCCTAGCTTCATGCTCAATATAGCCGATACCAATTGGTTAACAAATGCGTTGATCGGCCCTGATGCTGATCTTTGAGATCACATCAGATCCCTCCCAAGTCTACCCACGCTAATCTGGAATATGCACCATGCCTTCAGCGCGCTTGGGCCTGTATCAGTCAACGCGCAGTGCAGATGTAATTGTTAAAACATTAAACTGTAAAATCTGTTTCTTTCTGGAAAAGGTTTTGGGGCAAATTCATGCCTGCAAAAACCTGCTCCTGCCCCTTTTATCTGTTGCTCTCACGTCAGCCTTTTTTTTTAGTTGTTTTGCCGCCAGCAGAGCTTTGAGCCGATGAGATCACCGTTGCACATTACAGGTACAGTCATGAAAAACATAATCTAACGCCAACGGGTGGGCGTGTTTACCCCTGGTGCCCTACAGCATTACAGTAAATCTGGGTTGCAACCCACCTATTGTTGGGTTGTGAGAGAGGATAGAGAAGATAAAGCAACATCTTCTGTAGAAGATCCCTAAACTACAGTCACTGGTGGGACTTTAAGCTTTGAGTTTTGTTCTAAAAAGCCAGTTAATGGAATGTCATCGGATAATTTTTTATTTTATTAATAGAAATACTGATCTAATACAAATTGCCACCCAATTCCATAGACGATCAGTCCCTCCTCCGACCTACAGATGGTCATGGACCTGGTTAAACCCTGGATTTTGGACCCTAAGGGGTGTGTGTCTGTGTGTGTCTGTGTGTCTGTGTGTCTGTCTGTGTGTCTGTGTGTGTCTGTCTGTCTGTGTGTGTGTGTGTGTGTCTGTCTGTCTGTCTGTCTGTCTGTCTGTGTGTGTCTGTCTGTGTGTGTGTGTGTGTCTGTGTGTGTCTGTCTGTGTGCATGTTCGTCTGTCCACGCGCTGGTCACATTAACCCTCGTTTGGGGTAATTTCAATCACTGGTAAATGATGTCAGTCCCGGTGCGCTGTTGGGGTTGGGTTGTTTGTCGCCGTGGCAACAGCCTCTGTGGTCCCGGCTGTGTCGGAGGGTTTGATGGATGGCGGTGTGTGGGAACCGGCGGACGCTGCAGTACGCTGGCCGTCCTCCCAGACAAACTTCTTAGAAGCTAATTCCACATCAGAGACTTTCTTTAAGGGCTTTTTGCGGCGGCCCGCAGGCGGTGTGGCGGTTGAGATCTCCACCTCAGGAATCACACGCACATCCGCCAGCTCACGTTGTGTTATATCTCCACCTGAGACCATCTCAGCTGGAAAATTAGGCCCAGTTTTCTTCTCAAACCATTTTTCTATGTCAGACATTGTTTATCTACAATGATTAATTCATTCAGGAGTTAATTAGATTTACAATTCACAGTGAGTAAATTATAGGCCACAGGCCTGAGTCATCGCACAACTTGAGGCACGCCTGATTTGTCCTGGCATTTAACCAGACAGCACCATGACTTTCAGACATTAGAAATGTGCTGCCTGAGAGGGAGTTCAGTCCTTTGATTATGGTTTTGACAGTCAGACAGCATTTAAGTCCTCATAATCTCAATAAATAACATTTACCAAAGTAATCTTATAATGTAGAAAAGTTCTTCAAAGGGGTTTACTCTCATATAGAGAAGATTGGTTCTCTTTTGCTTCAAGACTTTTCAAACACATCTCATAAGGTCTGGACACAGTTTACGTAACAGTAAACACATGACTGTGCCTGTTTTAAATCCAGTTCCAGATCACATTATGTTGAATTCAATTACCCAACAATAGTTCTAAAGCCTCCATCAGCATATGGGATACTCATCTGAACCCTAAACCCGAAGAAATTGGGTTATCTGAATGATACAGTGCGGTTTAACATTATTTCCCCTCGGATTCAGTGAGATTTCATATTTTTCATTTAACTTGTGTTTTACTTTCAAAAAACTAAATTTAAAAAAAGGAAAAGATTTTACTGAAACACTATCAACAGTAAAACAAGGGCACTTTTTCAGCCAGTTCTCAAAGAGCCTGAATCTTTCACTGATACTCTGACTGATCCCAGGTCAGTGTACATAAAACAGCTCATGATTTTAGTTAATGATTAATGTTAGTGTTAGCTGCTAACACTAACATTAATCACCTTGACTTAACTTCATGGCCCCTTTTTGATACTTCTTGTATTTCTGTAGACTGCAGATGCAACGTAAGTATTGGGTTTACTATTTCGTTTTTAACAAAATGAGACTGAAGAAAAAAAATCTACAAATTATATTTATTTCTGAGGCAGGTTATAAACTGCAGAACAATACTCATTTCTTTTCTCTGTAAAAGTGAAACTGAGCCCTGTTAACTACAGAAAACAGCCTCTTGTCAGTTAATCTTCTTGTGTAGTGTAACTGGGATTAAAGTTGAGCTGTGAAGACATTCTTCATCAGAGGAAGCAGCTTCGTCCAAACACTGAAACCATAATAAGAGTTGAATACATTGTTTGTCTGTTTACCAACAGCGAGGAACCATTTTAACCACCTGTTTCCTTCCTACTTTTACTATTTCTTCCTGTTTCAGATTGTATTCCACATGTCCCTCTCCTCCTTCCTCTCGCTCAACCCTTTCCTCTTCCTCCTCCTGTTCCTCCTCCTGTTCCCACATCTGACCCAACTCATGGATGCGACCGCTCATGGCGACACCGTCTGGACAAAATCATCCGCCTGTAACCCGAAAAAAAAAACTCCAGCTGCTCTTCCTCGTCTTCACAAAGATGTAAACAGTGTCTGTAACCGTAGCAACCTCCACATTTAAACTCCAGGCCTGTGTTCATTTCGTTTACTTTCCACCAGTAACTAGTGATGTCAGTTTATCTGTAAGATCTTAATGATCCATTAAACTCGCATCTTCCCTAAAATAGGTCCCCTGAAGTCAAACCATATTTTTCCACACTGCATTACAGCGTCTCTCACACACACACACACACACACACACACACACACACACACACACACACACAAATCTGTATCTGCTGCTTCCAATGCTTCAGTTAAGTCTTACTTGCGAGCATCATTACATCAACTGGGAAAAATCTTGATGTCTTGTCCATCGTTGGACACAAATCCCTGTGATTCAGACATATTTGGGATCTTTGGAAAGTTTGGGATCTTTTCTAAACTTTAAAGTCCAGTGGGATGGGACAGACAGTTTTAGTTAGGCTTTTTGTATTAATCTTTATTTATGCCATTATATTGGAATGAAGTATGATCTGGAAGCGCTTGTTTGACACCACTCAGTAATGTTACATAAATGTTTCTTTGTCTTGCTTCTAATTCTTTAGGGGTTGTAAACAGGAAGTATAATTACGCTGTGGGCTTCAACTTGAGCCCCATTAATTTCTGTTGGATCGGACCACACAGCTTAATTCAACATACTTTTAATGGTGCCTATTAGCACTTCCTGTTTGCAGTAAATGGACAATTATCACCAGATTACTTTGAAAACAAATCAGAAACATGATTCTCAAGCACGTTCTCAGGTTACAGGCAGCACCTTTTTTTTCTATTATTTGTTGGTGGCTTTATCGGCTTATTCGTAATGAACATCAGATAATGAAATCCTCTGAAAGTGCAAGCTACAGCGAATCTAAAAATATGTGTCATACTGTGTCATGTCTCTGAGTTATGACTCAATGCAACCACAGACGGCAGCTTCATGTTTTCTTTAACCACCACATGAACTGGATTTGTTCAGACGATGATCTCAGAAACACAACATTCGGGTCAGCTGAAGTTATACGAACTAGATCAATCACGCACAGAGCTCAGTTCCCCCCCTTGATAACGGCGTGCAGCGAGGGCTGAAGGCTCCGCTGTCAGGCCACGTAGGAACTGTTGTGTTTCAGGGAGTGGAGCTCGCACACATGGTGAGCCATTAGCGGTCAGCTCCGCCGGGCCTGCCGGGTACTTAATGTGCTCTGGAAATCATCACGCCCAATGAAACTACTTCCTCCTCCTTTGTTGTGCAGGAAGAGCTCGGAGACAAAAAGCTGCATGAAGTTGTTGACAGCTGTAAACCTTTCAGCAGCCTGACTGCTCGCTGACCACTTTCACTCAGAAGGTCCAGTGTGCAACAAATGGAATATAATATAACATTTATATGTACAGCTTTCTAGGGAGTCATGTGTCTACAACCAAACACTGGCTTTACATCGGGCCGTGCTTGCAAGGGGAACATGAAGTGACAGCTAGATGCTATAAAACAAGAAATATATTTTAAAACGTAGTTCTTCTGCGTTTGTTTGAGTCAATATGACATTGGATCACCTTCAGACATTTCCTGTTAAAGTTTCTTTTGATAGAGACAAATTCTACAGATGATGGCTACGAGTTAGCAACATACGCACCGACCATAAGCCTATAATTGTGTCCAGTTCAGCCTCTGACTGAACCAGTTCTTTTTTCTCTTCGGTCTATGGAGCCATTATTGTAGCAGTGGAGAGTTGTGTTACCGTATCTTAATCCATGTGTGTAGACAAATCTGTGAATATGCGTCTTGTCTTTTGCTTCTGCTCACATCTTTCCATAGACTTTGTTTGCAATTGCAAAGCACATTAATCAATCAGTTAGTTAGTTAATTGATAGAAAAAAGAACATTTTCATAGTAGATGAACCTTTCAGACAAACATTTACTAGTTTCAGCTTCTGAAATTGAATTTGGTGCTTTTCCTTATATTTTCTGACATTTATTGGCCAAACAATTAACCAAGAAAACAACTGACGCATAAATCAGTATTGAAAGTAATAATTAGCTGCAGTTCTAATGAATAAAGCGATCTGACTACATGTTTACATCTTGAGATAAGAGACTGCTATCATCCACTTGCTGTCCGTATGTCCACACTGATAGCAGCATCCATTAAGTCATAAAGGAAGAACCGCATTGCCTCAGGCTTTACATACAGGGTTATTAGTAGTTTAATATGTAACGCTCATTTATTTTCAGTGTAAGGCACTTTAAGATAAAAGCATCCAGCAAACAACCTTGTCGTTTCCCTCCGGGCACCGGGCCACCTGCTCGTCCTCTTTCTGGACATTTCTTGATGGGACAGCTCATTGTTGCAGAGCTCCCACTAGTTGTGTCAGTGGAGGAGAAAATTACAGACAGCTTTCACTCACTGTGTGTGTGTGTGTGTGTGTGTGTGTGTGTGTGTGTGTGTGTGTGTGTGTGTGTGTGTGTGTGTGTCTGTGTGTCTGTGTGGTTAAGTCAGAGAGGGCAGATAAAGGTTTGCAGCGGCAGCAGTAAGGCGATGAATCCCAGCCGCCTTCTGAAGAGGGTTTCTCGTTGGTTATCTCTCTGCTGAGTCACAGACAGTAAAATGTGTCCTTGCAGTGGACCATATACCGTCAGTCTGTCCAGGCATGTGACTCAACCTCCGCTGGGCCCTGGCTCTCGTAGTTCAGCACGGGTTAATGACTGACTGTGAGATACTTTAAACAGTAACAGGACCTTTTGGTTTCCTTCCAGCGAGGCCGTTCAACCTGCCAGGCGCTGCTGAAACCTCCCAACGTTTGGCTGCTGGACGGAGACTAGTGTAAATTTACAGTAACCCCTCATTGATTTCTTCTCCAGTGAAAGTAGACACTGATTAGACACCGGCTGTCTAAAGTAAACACAGTCCACACCCAGGTCGGCCTGATGAGGGACTATTAAGTGTTGACTTACACTCCTCCACCCACTGTGTGTGCACACAGGCGTAAAGAAACCCTACAGAGAGGCTCTGCTTTAAACGGTTGAGAGATTCTACCACTGCGAAGAGAAACAGGTTTCTCATTTACTTAATATTCATGTAGGTAAACACAGGGATAAATAAGACGAACCAATCAGACCTTCATCATTTAAACTCTTCAAACCAGTTCTTCTGTGTGAAAGGCAACATGAGGCTGTCATTAACTGTTAAACTCAGGCTCCAAAGTGAACTTCTGCCCATCATCAGTGCACAATGTGGTGAAAATAAAAATGATATTACAATTATTTTCACTCATGATTAGCGGGAAATTATGATGATTTTTGCGTCACGATTTTCATTTTCACTGAAAAACCTTAAAGCGTTGATGATGTTGAGGTCTGAAGTACCAGACAAACATATTTTCTTACATCTGAAGAACTATATTTTATAGACCAGGGCGTCTCTGCAGCTCTTCATTATAATGCTGTTTGGATATTGCACTTGGCCATATTACGATAAGGCTATTATTTTTGATGAATCGTGCAGCTTTACCGCCAATTTACCAGCCTAATTTGTTATTTTGTTAACACTATATTTATCCAGACAGTGAAGAATAAAAAATGTAATGAAAAATTGAGATGAGAAGAAAGAAAAAAAGAAACCCCCAAAATATAAAAACATACATAAGACAAAATAAAAAGCTTGACAATTGTATAAGCATAAAGTCCATTAGATGTTGATGACGGCTTATAGCAGTATATTGTTCATAGTATGTTTAATATATATTATATGGCGCTTGGCGGGTTTTATATTTGGACCCTTGTTAAACATGAAATAAAAACAAGTTTCATCCATGCTGAATGTCTAAATCTAGTTTTAGGAAAAACTATAAGGATTGGACTACCCTGCCTTTATATTAAAATGCAAATAATATGAATAAAAAATCTTAAAAATACATTAAAGAAAAATAATTCCCAGATGCTCAGCAGTGATTCCTGGCAGCGAGGTCGACTTGGTCCCGTGAGGTTTTTTTTTTTTTTGTGGAAATTACGCAAATGAAGTCATAATATTACAAGAATAAAGTCATAACATTTAGAGAATAAAGTCATAACATTGCGAGGATAAAGTCATAACATTACGAGGATAAAGTCATAACATTGCGAGGATAAAGTCATAACATTGCGAGGATAAAGTCGTAACATTGCGAGAATAAAGTCGTAATATTACAAGAATAAAGTAGTAATATTATGAGAACTCTTCCCGCTGCGTTAAAATGAGGAATGCTGAGCATCTTGTGAAGTTATACTTTGGTATCGGTTTCACAAATAAGGAAATACTTAATCTTTTGGCTCATCAGCATCAAATTGTAATCAGTATCAAGATGTATTTGAAATGATTGTGCAAACGACTGTTTCTATTTTGAAGAAAGAACCACACGGACTTGGAAGAAATTACTTCTTTTGTACGTTATTCTCGTATTATTACGACTTTATTCTGGTAATTTCCAAAATTTTATTCATTTATTTATTTATTTTTTCCTCTTAGTATGGCCCTAATGCTCAGTCATAGGAAATCCCTGATAACTGTAGGAAGGTAAAAAATATCACTGAAGCATTTGGTTTATTTCAGATGCTGACCAAGAAATGCAACAGGACAGTTTTATCCAGCGACTCATCAGTTCAGAAAGGTTTTGAAAGGCTCAGCAGGAATTGCTGGTCAGCGCTGTGAGAGGTTAAACGCCGCAGCAGGAAGCCAACTGTCAGTCTGGGTCAATAAAGAAAAGACCGCTGTGACCTTTTGTGTTTGAGTCCAGAGTTCACTGCCATGTTTAACGCGCTGGTTTCCTGTTTCCTGTCAACTCTTGAACTTCCTGTGTCCATCAGCAGAAAATGCTCTGATAAATATCTCCGTAACAGAAGTTACCTGATAAAGATTTATTATTCAAATGCAGTTTCCAAGAAATGTTGACGATTGAGTAAAGTTTAACTGTATTTGAAAGAAACTAAAAGATCAGCCGATGCAGTTTTGGACGAATATTCACTCTTTGGCTTACAATGGTGGTATGAATTTAAAATAACAAATTAATGTCAATAAACGGATCAAAATGATGCTGAAACAACGACATCATGATGCTAATTTGTAAAAAAGTTTGTGTTCGTACTTTGTTGTTCTGTCAGCAAGACGACAGGCAAACATCTTTTTTAAAATGCTTGTTTTCTGAATGGAGTTTGGTGTACACAACAACAGTAACCGTCTGTCTCTGTTTGTTTTTCCTCCAGGACGTCATTGTTGGCTTCCTGTACAGCGTCCTGATCTTGATCCTCTTCCTGCCGGTGTTGGACCTGATTGACGGCTTCAACCTGACCTGCCGCTACGCCCCGCTCATGATCGTCTCCCTTCACCTGGGCCTGGGCCTCTTCTCCTTCAACCTGGACACCTGGAGCACCTCCCGGGGCGACACCGCTCAGATCCTGGGCACGGGCGCTGGCGTGGCCCTGGCCTCCCACGTCAACCACCTCCTGGGCTTGATGCCCGACCCGACACCGGACCAGCTCCCGCTCATCATGCCCGCCCTCAACGCTCGCCTGGTGGCAGTGGCCCTGCTGCGCCTCATCCTGGGCGTGCTGGTGCTGGTGGCCACGCGGGCGCTGATGAAGGCCCTCACCATCCCGCTGGTGTGCCGGGTGTTCGGCGTGCCCTGCACAGATGTGAGGAAGGCCAGGCAGCACATGGAGGTGGAGCTCCCCTACCGCTACATCGTGTACGGCACGGTGGGCTTCAACGTGCTCTTCCTCGTCCCGCTGCTCTTCAGCTACGATCAGTTATCCTGATTGGATGAAGTGACCCTCCACATGTTCACCTCGTGCTGTTCGCAGATCAGATTTCAGATCCAGGACCTTCAACCTTAGTCTTCCCCTCATGGGACTGATGTGGATTAGAGCCTAATTACTGATCTGGACGCTGTTAGTTTTCCCCCTTCATTGGCTGAACCGGGAGCAGCTCTCCTGACAATCTGCTCAATTTGGCCTCGACTGTTATGAGCTCTACCTGTGGCGAGTGATATCTCTCTGTTCTGTTCTTTTTAGATTTATTTAAAATCAAATGGCTCCTCCTGGTCGCACTGAGCCCAAACATGCACTCCTTCCTCTACCAGCTTAATTCATATTAGAGAGCAAAAAGCTTTTCCCACAGTGGCCCTCTGGAAGACTGAAAATGCCACTGACCGCTACTGATAAATTGCTGTGTCTTAGTATTTACATTTATATTAATGCTAGAGTTGTTATTAAGAGTTCAGACAAAGAACCACACTCGAAGGGACGTTGTGACTCCTTGGTGAATCCACAAACAACAAATGGTTAATAAAACGTCAATAAAATGTCAGACAATAATTCAAAATGTTTAAAAAGAGAAATGAAGATGAAATGTTTCTTCACTCTTTGTGTGGTTCTTTGTCGGGAAGCTTCTTAATATTAATATTTGATCTTCCTCTCATCTGTCTCACCTCTCGAAGCAATAAGATCCTTTTTAAATTTTACACTTTATTATCCTTGTATCGGAGTCACCTTTGACCCCCCTGTGGAGTGGACATTCCTGTGTTTTAAACTTCTGAAATAGACCTACGCGCGGAAGAAATCGTATCGTTTTTGAAGCGTTTGTTTGAAGGTCGTCTAAAGGGCTCTTCCCACTCTTTCTACTCGGTTTCCGTCTTTATTCGGACGGATTATGTTCTGTTCTCTTGCTCTGAGATTGATGGCGATGACCGGGCACAAACTGTACGACCCAGAAGGAAGGAAGCTTCACTCTTGTTTGGGAAACGTACAGAGAGGTTTTTTTAAATAGTCTATAAGGTCGTCAGGATTTGTCCACTTGGCTCAGCATTTTCCTTTTTTTTTGAACACTGTAAAACTGACTTCCTGTTAAGAGATGCTCCTGATTGCACGCAGCCACTTCCTGTGCAGAGGAGAGATTCATCTACTCGTGTCAGGAGGGCGGCGGCGGCGGAGATAGCGCTGCTCTCAGGAGAGAGGACGCGTGGAGCGCCGGCGGCCGAGAGACCAGAGGGAGGTCGGGATGATGAAGGGAGGACACAGCTCAGGCAAAACATATATATATATATATATATATTTTAAACAATACAGTTTTATAGCCTTCTTCACGGGCCTCAGATTTATAAAAAACAAGTTGTAATATTTCTCATTTTAGAATAAACTCAAAGAAAAGTAGCATTTCAAGAAAAATGTAAATTGAATATATTGTAATAGGTGAAAGTCATAAATCACATGCTCATAAAGTTACTATCTTAGAGGTCCAGTGTGGAGGATTTAGTGGCATCCAGATGTGTGATTGCAACTGCCTCGCTTCACCCTCCCCTTCCAGTCGGGAACAGAGAAACTACGGTTTATACTCAGTTCCTGACAATAGATCCACACACTGGACCTTTTTAAAATACTTTTTTTTTTTTTTTATCATATAATTACAATTTTATTCTTGAAACACTTGAAAATGTTGAAAAATATTGTAATTTTATTCTCCAATTCAGTGTTTTGGACAATCCGACACCATTTCAAAAGGATCTGAGCGGTTCTGGTCCAGTTCTAATACCTTCATTTTGGATATCTACTGATACCGCCTAGTTAACACAACTTCCACCCCTCTGAATCTTGGCTCTACACACATTACAAGTCATTTCTCTTCTGTGTTTAAAGACTAAAATATTTTGGCTAGCTGCTGCTCGCTCAGATGCAGACTGGATTCATTGTCCAGCTCCTGGACTGGAACTCAAACTGGGAAACAAAAACATATATGGGGACCACTGGATATAGTTTCATATTAGAAATTAATTCATTCGCTAATACGCTGACGATGGTCTGATATATCGACAGGTTGAACACGCTGGAAAAAGTTGGTGTTGAGTTTTTATTTAAACTGTTTTGATTAATTCTGGCACCAATCGCTCTCCGAAACATCTCCCATTAGATCAGATTGTCCCTTGCTCTCTGACGGCTGATTATTTTTAGTTTTTAGGCCTCAAACATTTCACTGTCCGCCGTCCGTGCTCAGTTTCCTCGAGGCAATAATGACTGAACATCTGCACCGATGTTTCATTCGCACATTCCTCCTCGTGTTTCTCCACCGCGGCGGTTGCGGCTGAAGTGCCTTGCTCGAGGGCGCTGTTGTTGCTGGCGGAGGGTTCAGGTGCTGCTGCCCCCTGCTGGTGACCTTTAACCTCCGAACTGAAGTCCAACAGAAAGTCCTGCAGGCAGCAGGTTGAGCAGGAAGTAGCGTTTCCAGCTGACTTGTTGTATGTTGTTGTATCCGGTACTGTTCTCATATGAATGCACTGTTCCCAGAATGCACTGCCCCCCCGAGCAGGGCAGAGAAGGTGACGTTAGTCCTGAATGTGAACCTGAGGTTGTTTATCTTCATGTAGAGCTGTGAAGGTTGTGGGCAGCGACTGCAGACAGTTTGATTCCTGCTGTTTAGTTTCTCACATTCGTTGTTTTTGTGTTTAAAATTTTACTTTTTGCTTCAAAAAAGTTGATTTTATTTGGTGAAATACTAAAAGCAGCAAAGGAATTTGAAGTATTCCAGCCACTGTGGTGTGTACATGAAACTATTTAATGCAGTGGTTCCCAACCTTTTTCCATATTATAATTAAAACTGTACAATGAACTCAAACAGTGAACTTTGGAAGTTTGTGTGAAACGAGCGATTTGAATGAATTTTGAGCAGATTATTTTCATGTTTAAGGAACTTTTTATAAGATTTTCTGTCTGTATGATGTATTTATTATACATTTTAACAATCATACAGACTTAATGGACTACTTTTTTTGACACATTCAGTGTTTTCTGGTCCCTGATGTTTGGCCATTGTTCTATTAGACAATTACCTTTTTGTTTTCTATATTTAAATTACCCGTTATAAAACCAACCTTCAGCTCGACTTGCTCACATTCTGCCAGAAAACAAGGACGCCACCGACGCACCGTCTCCTCCTGATTGGTCGGCGGCCTCCTCTGCCCGGCTCCTTTCACTTCCTGTGGCCTCGCCTCGTGCAACAACATATTTCTGTTAGTGTTTAGTTTGTTTGTTCTAGTCTGAATGTGGTTTCCTCTTTCTGAACCGGTGAAACGGGAAGTTTAATCTCTGTTTTTCTACTTTGCCAACAGTTCCAGGAGGTTTCCAATAGTTATTACTTAAATAAAATATTTTTCCCCATCAGTTCAAACACAAGTTAAAAAGGTTAAATATCAGTTTCAGTGTCTATATCTCTTCTCTAAACCAAAATCCTCCCACGTTTTGTGACATTTGATGAGTGACCTCGGACACAAACGTTGTTGACAGTGCAGATACGAGAGGTACAGCAGGAGGAGCTGTAAGTGTTTGAACACGTGTCGGCGAGGTATTTACATCCCGACCGGGCGCCGTTTCCTCTGCAGATGTTGGAGCGATTGATAAATGAGATTAAACCAAAACTTCCTGATGGTGATGAGCTTTGTGTTTCTATTGTGAGGCTCCACGAGACAAACCGATGTCCACGTTCACCAGCTTGTTAACGTGTGTGTGCGTGCGTGCGTGCGTGCGTGCGTGCGTGCGTGTGTGCGTGCTGTGTGTGTGTGTGTGTGTGTTAATCTGTGGTAATGGAGCAGAGCCATTTGAGGTGTTCTAGTGGACCTCAGAGGGATTTGAATTTGTTCAGTTTAATGTCACATTTCACAACAATTTAATAGATTTTACTGCAATAAAAATGTCAATTTGTTTGTTTTATTATCATCCATATTTATTACAGCGTCCTCTGAGATGTAATAATCTCAGGATTTGATGAAGCATTGAAACATTTGCTGTAATCAGCATTTTTTGATTTGTTATAATATTTTTAAAAATTGGATCTTATTTGTTAAAATCCCCCAAAAAAACATTTAATCCAAGAATTATAATTAATTTTATTTTTATTTTGTTGAATCCTAAATTTTATTTGTTATAATCCAAACATTCTGGCAACTGATGGGAACCTAAACTGTCCTTGTATCCCAAATATTTGAACCAGATATTTTGGTTACGGTGATCCAAAAACACCAAATTTGGAATAAACCCAAATATTTTCACAACTCTGCAACAAAATCAGATGTTTTTAGTAGATGAAGAAATTAGAAATGGAACTAAAACTGGACAAACTCTCATCCTCCTGGAGGCTGAGGGCCCCTGAAGGCCCCTGGAGGCTGAGGGCCCCTGGAGGCTGAGGGTCCGGCTCTGTTCTGAATGTGTTCCTGACCAAATACAACGAGGTGAACTGTGTTAGCTCGTAGCAGTTAGCCACCGCCGGCTCCGCGCTTCCCTTTAGTGCCTTTTATTGATGATGAGGAAGACGAAGGTTTTAATCTTCCGTGTGTTTTTACTCTCTTCGTCGTCTGTCGTGTTGCCTTTTGCACTTTGCGGCTGTGTTGACGCCCCCCCCGTCGTTGTGTTCACTGACTGTCTGCATGAGAATAAAATGAGTGTTTGTGTGAAACCAAATTTCAGTTTTCATCGTAAACGCAGATTTTATTGTTTGATCTGTTTCTGTCTGATTGTGTGAAATTAACTGAAATAAAAATAAAATAATGAACCTGCTGCTCTCTGGTTATCCTAACTTTATTACCACACAGATAGCTGACAGATAAATATATATATATATATATATATATATATATGAAGTTATACATCATTTCTTTTTGCAGACAGAATTCAGAAATCTCAAATAACTGTTAAAATCTAAACGAGCTAAATGCTAACGTCTGCTAACACGCTGACCATGAACACTCCTTTACTTTGTGACTTTTGTTTGCCTCCATCCTCTGCAGCACCGACTCTGCAGGTTCCTCCATCCAGTTGTTTGTTTACCTCACAATAGTCCAAAAACAAACAGCTTTATTTAGTTTGTCTCCTGTTTTTGCTGCAGTCTAAGAGCCGGACTGTAACAGCGAGTACGCCGTTATCTGTATCTGTTCGACCAAATAAATGATCTATATTAGTATCTGTACTCTGAGTGGGCGGGGCTTAGATACTTAATAATGAATTAATTAGTGATGTAGGTCGATCAGAAGTTGCTGTATTTGTTTTCAACTCAACAACAAGTCGACTTCTCAGTTGATTTATTCCCTCAGTAAACAGTTTCCTGATGAGTTTCTGGTCTCAGTCTCTAGTTTCAGTCTTCTTCCATACAGCATGATGTTCATTTAGTAACTGATGGTCCCATTTAGAGTAAAACAGACCATAAAGCAGGGTATGCTTTAGGGCGGGGCTACCTTGTGATTGACAGCTCATTCTCAGTGAGTCCGTCCAGCTCAACGCACCAAACTCAGATCAAACTGTCAAACAGTGCTGATCAGATATGGATCCAGATTCTGTTGTTGACTATTTCTCTCAGATCCTGTGTAACCAGGCGAGCCTCCGTTGTTTCCTGCTACTGTCATGACGACGCCCGTAACGCCAAACTCGAGGCTTCAGAACGGGACTCCACAAACCGATGGCTGACGTCGCACTTGCTGTATTTGTAGAAAAGTCTGAACACACGATGGGAGGGGATCCACGTTCCCAGGGTCTTCCTCAGTCCACATTAACCCTCCTATTGTGTTCGGGTCAAAAACCCTAATCCCGACCCCGGGAGCAGACGACCCCGGGAGCGCAGGAATGACCCCGACTAACCAAACCAAACTGCAGCTGCAAGCAACCAGATAAACTGCGAAACCAATCAGACGTTAACAGACACAGCCTGGTGTTATTTTGTCTCTGAGCTCCTCCGGCTGTATTCACCGTCTCTGGGAACCGTTGGGAACGAACCGTTGGGAACCGTGGGGAACCGTTGGGAACCGTGGGGAACCGTTGGGAACCTCTCCTTTGGGCTTCGGGCCTAAATTAAACCCTCTAACGTACGACTAGAGCACATGTGAGCGGCTCCTCTCGTGGATAATGATGTTTGAAAAGGTCCTTGAGGGTTTTTTTTTAACGACTCCTCTGCAGTGTTTTTGTCTCCCGTTCACAGATGGCGGCGTGGCGATGTGGTTGTGTCACGGGACCACCAGTTTTCCACGTCGCTCTGCCAACGCTGCCCGGCTGCTGCAGCTGCTGGCCTGAACATCAGAGACATTGCTCTTTGTTGTTTTATTCTTTTTCTTCCTGCCCGGTGGCGTGTCCACAGTGGAGGGAAAAGCACATGGGATTGTGGGTAAACCTCAGTCACACAGACCAGGATTGAAGACACCTGCTGCCACGATGGATAATTAAAGGAATATGTTTAGTTTTTGTAGGTTTTAATCTCCGTCAGTGGTCTCATTCTGTCCGTTTATTAGCAGCAACCATCCACATATCAAAGAAGGACGTCGTCTCCACTTCCTGCCGCTGCTGGTTGGTGGTCGTTAAAGGGTCACATGATTTTTTCCTATTACACACAAATACACTGATCATCCGTTCTCTTTCTGTTCCAGGATCATTATTATTCTCTGTTTACATTAGATAGTTTTAATTCTTCTTACAATCATCAATGTAAATAGTTATTAGCTTTATTTAAAAAACAGCTGTAGGCAGACAAACTTCTCTTCGTCTCTAAAAGTACGAATAAAAACAGGTTCAGGGAGTTGATGTTCAGCCTGGAGGTTTGTGTGACTGAACTGTGCCACTTCAGATTTGGGTCAACTGGAAACCTTCAATCCAAACAGCTTTAAAGCTTCAGAGACTCAGAGACCTGCAGGCTGCTGGCGCCACCTGCTGGACGACGGAGGTCTCACAGCTGAGCTCTCCTGTATGGATCTGCAGTCTGACACTAGAAGGATGTTTTTCACATTCAGCTGCTGGAAGTTTCTCAGGTCCGTATTTTGTAGTCGTGTTTCACCTCTTTTAACCCTTTTCTCTCTCTTGTTGGTCCATTTGTGTCTCTTTTTGGACCTTTTCTTTCTCCTTTTAGTCCTTTTCTTTCTCTTTTTGGTCCATTTGTGTCTCTTTTTGGACCTTTTCTTTCTCCTTTTAGTCCGTTTGTGTCTCTTTTTGGAGCTTTTCTCTCTCCTTTTAGTCCTCCTCTTTCTCTTTTTAGTCCATTTGTGTCTCTTGTTGGTCCATTTGTCTTTTTTGGACCTTTTCTTTCTCCTTTTAGCCCTTTTCTTTCTCTTTTTGGTCCATTTTTGTCTCTTTTTGGACCTTTAGCCATTTGCTTGATGTTTGGCTGTGTCAGAGAAGTTGTGTACTTTTTTGATAAGCAATGTAATCATAAAAAACTCTATATTTACCACACTGGTATTGCAATTGGGGGCTAAATCGCACAAATACCAAATCTTACCTAATGTTGCTTTAGAGCTTTTGTTAGTAAGGAAAATGCTGCGTAAACTTCTGAATTGATAACTGGTTGATACACAACATCTCATCACTCTGACTGATTGTTGGTCTATCCAGTTGCATCCAGAGGCTTTGAGGTTAAAAGTGTATATATATATGTGTGTGTCTGTGTTTTCTCTGCAGCAGCTACGAGGAAACAGGTTGTTTTATAAGAGAGAGGTGAACACTGAGAGAAAGGAAGCTCATTATTTAGTTTTATTTGAACCTTTATTTGATTCTTCTACATCTTCCGAACCAAACGACAGCACAACTTAAACCAGAATCTAAGGGAGGTTCTGGTCCTGACCCCCAGGTTGGGAACCACTGCATTAAATCACTGAAGTCAACCTGCTGTTGTTTTTACATTTGTTTCCTAAACTGTGACATGTAATTATTTATTTTAATGCTGTTTTCTTTAGGCCACTAATAACTAATAACTGATACTAACAAAGTGAAGGAACATCATTTTAACTTTGAGTTGGTTTTAAATTGTTTTTCAACTGTTTTTCAGGACAGAGGTGAAAAAAGTTTGCAGCCCTGGATGTACGCAAGCCTCTCGTCCCCATGTGCAGTGCCAAGGGTCGCCCGGAGCCCCCACTAGGGGTTGCCAAAGCTTCACAGGGGGGACACAAGTTCTTCTTTAGAGTAAGAAAGCGTAAAAAATATACACAGTTGAGCTGAGGAGACTCAACACTTGTAGCTACTGAGGATCGGTAGAAAAGGTCAGGACGTCATGTTTAGTTTATGAAATGTTACAAATATTTTCAACTTTTATGTGTAATGCCGACACATTTTTACAACTAGAGCACGTAAGAATCACTTTTATATGATTTATGATAAATGAAAAGAGCCACAGATTGCCTTAGATAGACTGTATAATTGTTTAAAACATAAATACACAATACAGACAGAATTGTAAAAAAAAAAAGTTCATAAAACCATCAGAAAGCTCACCTTTAATGTCACATTTGCAGTAAATAATGTGCTCCAAATTAATCCAAACCGCTCATTTTACACAAGCGTCCTGCAGTTATTGTGCATCAGCTGTTCTGTTAATATCCATAATGTATGTCACATATTCAGGAGTCAACAGTTTAATAAACTATAGAAAACAAACAGGGTCCCGAACTGGATCGTATAGTGTCTCCTGTGCAGTTTGGTGGAGGAGATCTGAGGCTGTTTTTCAGGGTTTGGGCTTCCAGTTTGGGGGCAGGCCCGGCACCACGAGGGGGCTAAAGGGGGGCTTAGACACCTCAGCTGTATTTGTTTTTACCCCCTCTGGTGATTGGACGATGTTTGTCGTCCACAGTACTGAGGCGGGTCGCTGGTTTCTTCACCTGCTTTGCTTCTTTGTGGTTTCGAATTCTTCCTTTCCACCAACCGACAGACAGAAAGGAAACAGAAACTTTATGTTGTTGTAATTCTGAAACTATATACATCGTTAAAGATCTCTCACAGTATGATGAGGTTTGATGCGTTTGGTGTCGAATAACCTCAAACAGGGTTGAGGGTTAGGGTGAGTCCGACCTCGCCTATACTCGTTCCAGGATGGTCTGCGGCTGTTATATCCACACAGGTTGGGGGGGGGGGGGTCATACTCCATATTAATGCTCAACAACAAGCTCATACAGGTGTGATGAGTCCTACATTATAAGTTTCGAGGAGCTTAAACTGAGACTGTTGCTGCTGCTGAAGATCCTGAGAGCTTTCATCGACCGTGTGGAGTTCCACAGGGAAGCGTTTCGGGTCCTCTGCCCGTCTTTGAAGTTTTATTTTGCGGATGATTCTAACATTTTAGGCTCAATTCAAGAACGAGAACAAACGTCGGATCCGTTCAGAAGTGATGCTCGGTGGTGACAGCAGCGATGACCTCGTCACAGTCGTCATCCAATCCCGTCGCAGCCCGGGTGGGCGGGGCCATCGCAGCGAAGACGGGGAGGTGATTTCCTACAAACAAAGCAGGTTAGAAAGAAAATGTAGATAATTTCTGTTATAGAGACAACTGTGAATCATCAACACAGTGATAGCGTGAGACTGATTGATTGATTTTAAGGTCAGTGATTGATTGATTGATTGATTACCTGTGGGCCTCTGTCGATATAAAGACACCATGAGGACGGTGGAGATGCAGTATGGACAGAACACCACAAGGTGGCAGAGCAACGTGAACACAAGCTGGCGAGGGTCTGAGGCCGGGGGCGTGGCTACGTTTATGGGCGAGGCTACATTGGTGGGCGGGGCTGTGGTTGAGGATTTACCTGTAGAGAGAATCCCACCTGGTCAGACAAATATCTGCATGAATTAGATGCTGAAATTAAAGGTACCCTTGCCTTTGACAGCGATCCAGCTGGGCGGAGACTCTCCGTGACCATCGATGTGACACTTGTAGAGGCCTTCGTCAGACCGGGAAACGTGGCGGATGGTCACCTGACCCGTAGGCTCGGCTCGGATGATGGCGCCATCTTTGTAGAAACGAGCCGGGAGGTCAGAGGTCTTCTTTGTTTGACAGCGCAGAGTGAAATCGTCTCCCTCCATCACTGTGGGGGGGACGGGACTCTGCAGGATCACCGATCCACCTCAACACAGAGACGTCAACTTAAGTTAGCGCCGACTCACATTTACGAACAAAACAAGTTTATTTATTTTTATTAGACTGCCGTAAAATACTATAGGTAAACTACATATTACCATTCATTTAAGTTGCCTACAGTTATTATTCTTATAATTATTCATGTGATATTGTTTTTATATTGAGTTTATCAAGAATATATATATAAAGGAATATGATATTAAAAGCTGTGGATAATTAATAATTAATGTCAACTCACTTTAGAAATCTGATAAATGTATTAAACACTCAGAAATGTTCCAAACTTTGTTCTAAATTTACTTCATAAAGCAACAAAACCTCCATTTCTCACTTTAAAAGGTGCAGTTGATCATTTGTGTGAAGGACAGTAACTCCTCGAGAGCATGAATGTTTATTTTTAAGCTACTTACACATTAAGTCTGATTTATTACAGCGACTGCGTTTCCTTTTTTACATAATAAACTTTAATTTAAGCCTTCAGTATGTAAAGTAAGTTTAATATTGATGGATGCTCCTATTAGACTTCATCATCCTGGATTCCTTAATTCTGCTAATGTGTAACAGGCTGCTGCCAATACAGCCACATGGGGGCAGTAGTGAGGCTGAAGATGATTGTTGTTGTTGCTCTGATTGTCTTACCAGTGACTGTGATGTTGATGGTGTTACTGGTTGCTCCCTCTCTGGACTCACACCAGTAGACTCCGCTGTGCCACACAAGGACGTAGTTGATCTTACAGGAAGAACCGACCGGTGTTCCCCACTCGGCTCCACACCGAGCTCTGGTTTCTCTGGTCGTGTTCCTCCTCAGCGTCCATCCGGTGGAGCCTTCGTCCTCCTCGCAGCTCAGAGAGACAGACTGTCCTTTAAACAGCTGAGAGCTGCTGGGACTCACAGTCAGACGAACTGGAGGATGAGGAAGAGGAAGGAGGATGTGGTGGTTAATAAATAATTCATTCAACTCAGAAAACTGTTGAAATTGACTAAATCACACATTTTTTAAGTAAAACAAACTCAATTTTCTGATCTTGATCATGTGGCAACCTAGTAATTTTAAGTGACACTGACTTAATTTTGTAGTTTTTAGTATAAGTACTTTGCTCGGTACTCTAAAGTCCTAATGAAACCTCCTCAGTAGCATCAGATGTGTCTAAGCGACCAGTCCATCCCTGACTGCTGTTTACAGGAAATACCTGAATGCAGAAGCCAACAGCTCTCTGATTTCTGTTTCACTTGCCCTCGCCTCATTTAACAAATACCAACATTCCTGTTTGAACAAACGGTTACTGAAACACATCAAATCAACAAATCTCACTTTAACAAGATTCGTGTATCTGAGTTTCTTAGAAAAGACGTTTACTCACGTTGGTTTGTTGAGCGGCAGAGCAGAGAGGTCAGAACTACAGAGAAATAACAGGAATAAACGAATACAGAGACAATAGACGTTATCACAACTTTAAAGATCATTTCTCAGCCAAACAGACACATTCTGTAAGTTCTGTAAAAACCAAATTATGTTGTGTTTTTAATATACTTACCGATCCACCGCAGTAGAGCTGTTTCCTCCATCCTAACACTGGCTCACTGTAGATCACCTCATGGTCACATTACATGAACCCTCCTTCCTCTGTGAAAGTGGCAGTGTTGTGGTTTCCTCTCTCCGACTATGGTGTTTGGTTATTCAGTTGCAGGAGAGCAGATTAATGCAGCTGTTTTTAAAAACAAACATCTGGACCTTAAGCTGAAGTGAAAAGAGACCAAAAAAACCCCACTAACTTTAAAGTTAAAGTTTTTTAAGTTTTGAAGTTTTGAGGTTGAGATTAAAAGTATAACATGAATACCATGCATTGCTGTGTGGGTGTGTCCATTGTTTCCACTGACTGAGGGGAAAGTGAAATATAATCTGCCTCATTTCATTATCTTCTGTGCAGAAATCTAAAATAAATTAAAGTTTGCATTATTATTTAAGCTCTAAGCTGTGAAGGACTGAATATATATTAACAGCCTCGTCGTGCATTAGAAAAAGCTGATAGTAGTGATGGGCAAATGAAGCTTTTGTGAAGCACTGAACCACTTGAGCCAATTGTTTCAAAAATGGGTTCACTACTTGAAGCTTCAGTTACAGTGACCTCTACTGGCAAAGTGCAAGGCTGCAGTCAAATTAGGAAGGCTAGTTGATGGACATGAGGCTTTTAATTACATACTGGCATGCACGCACATGCACACATCTAGTGAGCAGTGTTTTTGTAGAAAACACCTTTTGTTCTGAAGCATGTTTGCTTTGATCACCCTTGGATTTAAAGTGTATTTGCTTTAAAAATTTGTATCTATATCATGTTCTATTTACAAATAAAGATTGATGAATGTGTGTATTATGTTATTGAGGAGAGAATGCTGGGGAAATATTGTATAGGTTGGGGTGTGCTTGTGTAACTATGACAGGAGGGGATTGGGAACAGTCAAAGATTTTTATTAAGGTACATTATTTTTTCAACGGTTTTTGGATTGAGCCGGGTCCTTTTTTTTGCTCACGATTTATCCACATTTGGAGAATACTCGCTCACATGGAACACTTGATGCTGGTGTGCGTAAAAATTGTTTCGCCAATATATACAAATGAGGGTACACATTTCGATGTTTGGACCAGTAATCTAGTGGATCTTCAGATCTTTCCAGTGGTGGGTCAACCATGTACCGCTGCACCTCTACTGTGGCATCTGCTGTGGCATTCCTTGCCCTCCTGGCTTCAGACGCATCTCTATCCAAAGTTGCCCAAAGGTTAATATCTGAAAGACAAACATGATGGCAGTCATCAGTACTGAAAGCTTTCAATTTTTATCTAAATTAACTACTTATTTACTACTCTATTATTACATTACCTGTGGATGGTGGATTTCCAACATTTGCTGGTTGATCTGATGTTGAAGGCTGTTCTTCAGTAGGGGTGTCTCTTATTACCTGGGAACACTGTGCAGTCAGGCGTTTTACTGAGGATTGTGCTTGTACTTGGTTGTAAAAGCCTAGGGTTTTAAATCTTGGGTCCAGCAGTGTTGACAGGTTCAGTGCAGTTTGGTTCTCTGTTGTGTCAAATTTGTTGAGCATCACCGACACCAAGTTCTGTCCCAGTTGTTTTGCAGTGTTGTGGCTTATGTTTCCCACTGTGTCATATAAGTACAGCATCAACATCTTTATCATAGGGATGACCTTTGACCCTGAGACCCTCTTCTCCTCTGACAGCTCTACTGTTGCCTGGTAAAAGGGGCCCAGCAATTGCAGGCATGCAGAAGCTGTCTCGGAGGACAGAGGTCTCACATCTGTTTTCAGCGTTGCAAGAGCTGCCCCCACTGACTGTCTCTCTTTAAAAAGACGTTGCAGCATTAGGAAGGTGCTGTTCCAGTGTGTGTCCACCTCCTGAATCAGCTTCATTACAGGACGGTTCATCTGCTCCTGCACTTCTTTGAGCTTTTCTCTTGCTGTTGTGCTGGTTTTAAAAAGTGTGACCACTTTGCGTGCCCTTGTGCGAAGGTCTTCTAGGCCAGGAGTCGCATCAAGAGACTTCTTCACCACTAAATTAAGCGAATGAGCAAAGCAAAGTGCATGTCTTAAATTTAAGCTTCTGACAGAGGCAACCATGTTAGCTCCTGCATCTGTAACAATTGATGTTACTTTGCCTTCAATGCTCCATTCTTCCATGAGAGACCTCGTTGCAGCAGTAATGTTGGCAGCTGTAGGGGCTTCAGGGAAAGGCAACACTCCCAAAAGCACTGTGGCCAGCTTCACAGACTCATCCAGATAATGGCCCGTCACTGCTAGATATGCGTCCATATTAATGGAGGTCCACATATCCGCAGTCAGGCTCACAGCCTCTACCCTCTGAATTACAGCCTTGGCCTTGGTTTTCTCCACCTCATACCTCTGAACCACCATGTTCTTCTGAGCCCGTTGGGATGGAAGACTATATGTGGGATCAAGCAATGCCACAAACTCCTTAAAGCCACAGTCATCCACGATGGAAAAAGGCTGCGAGTCTTTCACCACCATATTGACAAGAGCTTCATCGAGCTCTCGCTTTAGGTCCAGAAAGAAAGAAAGAAAGAAAATAAGGATTTATGTGAAATTGCATTTCTATGAAGCAGGTCTATGAATCATGGAATACAGTCATATCATATTGTGTTAGTGTGTCTAGTTAATAATGATATAATACATACCTTGATTTGTGTTGCCCTGGTTCACAGCAGCTCCATGCTTGGCAGTGAAGTGCCTAATCATTGAGGAAGTATTGCCATGATACTTCAGTTCAGCCGAACACACCAAGCACTGGACCTGGAGAGAAAGCAATTTGTAAATAAAAATGTCTATACAGCTATAGCCTAATGGCTACACTAATCATATACATTATTTTAGTGTGTTGCTACTTATTATAAACTTGAGATGGACCATAGCTATAGTAGTGTACTGGTAGTTTCTGTTGTATATGTAACTTTACTTTTCCTACTTTACATATTAAACAGCACACCTACCTTATCAGGAGCGACCAAACTGAAGTGTTCCCGCATGTTAGAACGACCTCTCTTCCTGGCTGGCTCCATAATGAATCAATACAAACGCAATGAATCAATACAAACGCGATAACTCTGCAACTACGATAACAACCCACAAATTGTGCATTGTTTAGAGCGTTTATAAAGTGTTAATGGCGCTCAAATTCAAAACTGTCTCAACCTGTCACCTGTCGCTATCGGGTCAGTGAATCACCTGATTGGACCACGAACCAGTCAGCTGATTCATTCAGGCAACGAAACAGTTGCTGCTTCGGACGTCATTTGTCACGTGATTTTTTTCGGACCAAAGCAAGCTCTGAAGCAGTGGTTCTATGGAATTGTAGTTCAGGGTTCAGCACGTATCGAAGCTTCAGTGTCACACTGCCATCACTAGCTGATAGAATAAAGAGAATAAAACCATGAATCTGTCAAAAAAAGAAGCCTGTTGAGTCTGAATGATTGTTAGAAATTATAAAACATACATAATACAGACACAAGATTGTATAAAAACTTCCTATAAATATAAGATTATTCTCTACAGTTATGGTTATGCAGTGTATATAACAATAAATATATATAAAATATGTCAGTCAGTTTACTCAGTGATAGAAAATGACCGACAGCCTTTTTAAAAACAAAATTATGATGCATGATGATGTTTTTAGTCTCATGCAAGGGATATAAGAAAGAGAGGAAAGAACTTAAAGCAGCAATGCAAAAAGAAAAAGTGAGCTTCACGGTAGGGAACATGTTGCAAGGCTTAGAAAGCATTAGGAGATATGTGAGAAAGTACTTGAGGAAAACAGGGTTAATGGATAGGATTTTATATAAATTTATATATATATATATATATAATTATTATTTATTTATTGTTTTTTTAAATTTATTTTTCCTTCTTTATCTGTCATCTAATGTACCACACTCCAGTCCGGCAGGTGGCGGCAATGCACCTATAAGCTGGATGCCAGCCGCCAATCAAATCAAAAAGAAGAAGAAGAACCGCCCTGCACGCAGCCGGCTGATGAACACTGTGTTTGTTTATGAAGTCATTTTAAAACATACGCATTACAACATTACAACATTACATTCTCCTCCGCATCTTTTCTGGACCTCCTGACAGTTTGCATCGCAGTGAAGGAGACAGTGTTCAGCGAGAGAACATGGGAACTACTTTTATGGACTTTTTCCCGACCGGAGAAGTTGCGTTTGGAGGAGGACACAAACAGAAGCTGATTTCATTCATTATAATATGCATTTTCTCTTCGGGCGTTGCTGCAGAAGGTGAGCTTTATACTTTATTATAAGTGTCAACTGAATACAGTCAAAACACCTTTAAAAAGATTAATTAACCTAAGTAAATACCCCGGCGTGTGTGTAGTGTACGGACCTTAACCCGGATGAGACCTGTTCGAAACGGTGCAACCTCAACCTTTATATCATTATTATTTAGAGCCCGGTGGGTGTTTAACCGCGTGGGTGTTTCCATTTGTGCCTGAGGACGTAGCCGCTGTGAAACAACCAGAAAGGGTTAGGGTTCCTCTCTCCATCGTCCCGCTCCTGGCTGATGCAACCGGGCCTCCGCAGACGGTGACATCGCCGCACACCTCCAGAGGGTCATAACTTAATAATTACTTTTCGAATGAGTCTGTGCATCTAGGAATACAAAAGTGTGTCAAAAAGTGAAAATGCTTTATTTTTATTTATTTAAACCTGAGTTAGGCAGTTTAGTTTCTGTGTCATTGCGCAAATATTCCATAATAACCGGTCCTTTGCAGCATTGTGTAATTCAAGTATACGGAGAAAACTCTTGACTTCTGCATTTCCTTCATTCTGATTTGTAGCCTGTGTATTATGTTGGTTTGGTGACAGGAAGCAGAGACAGAGAGAGAATGTTTTTCCCCCTGCAACTTTAAAAGCACACAGACTCACATAAGTATATAACCCTTCTTTATGATCTCACCTGACCCCATTACAAGTGTGTGTAGGTTTCTGAAATTAAAATTGAAATGTCTTTAATGTTGGTTAATTTGGTTCACAACAGGTAGCCAACACATACACATTCGCACAAAACACATAAAAACATGAACTAATGAATAAATAAAAGCATCTATATATATATATATATATATATATTGTGTACTGTGACATGGACAGGGATGGAAGATGACCTATAGTTTGTTGAGAAACCCAACAGCTGATGGTACAAATGATCTCAGGTATCTGTTAGACCTGGCATGTTTTCGGGAGGTATACCTCCTTCCTGATGGTAGGAGGCAAAAGTCAGAGTGTAGTGGGTGAGTGAGGCCATTGCCCTCTGTGTGGCTCTGGCCTCATACACATACCCAATGCTGTTGAGGTCAGTGCCAATTATTTTCTGACATGACTGTGTCTATCTGTGTATTCAGGGTGTGAACTACAGGGGAGCCAGGCTCCTCTTAATAAGACATGAGCTCCTATTTTGGAGGGTCTCAGGGTCTCAGACAGGATTTAGTTGGTTTTTTTTTTTGGGATGCTTGATGATATTTTGCCATTTTTTCTGGACGTTTCTGTTTCTTTCGGGACGTTTCTGGTTGTTGGTTGTTGTGGTTTGATTTTTCTTGTGTCAATGCAGCTCATTTAATGTCTGACTTAAACCTTTAGCTATCTGACTATAGTAAGAGACCACAAACTCCCACTGAAGATATCCAAAAATGCTGACACATACTCACAGAAAGCAAAGAGAATTGACTGATTCACTCCACATGCAAGATTTATCTGGTGACGTCTAATGTTTGATAAACAGTAGTCATAATACATCTGATGCCCAACTCTCCCTGAGACAGCCCTTAGTCTTTGGAATAGCTCATGGCACACTGAATAACACCTCTCCTAACTAGGGTGAGACAACCACAATGTGAATACATGAGGACGAACATACATGAACATAAAATATTATACTGTAAGCCTGTAAAATTAAACCTAATACAACATAATATAGTTTATAGCTTCATGTTTACAGAACCTTATTCCTGAATGCATTAATCCCACTACATGGTCAACCTTTGGACAGCAGGTCGCTGTCTCTGTTTCCTGCTTTCTGGACACGGCTCTGTGAGACTGTGAATGTATGAAGAGCTGCAGGCCGGCGTGTCTTCCTCTTTTTGCCTGAAGGCGAGTTGAGCTGACAACGTGCAAACTACACTCTGCATATTACTGCCGACGAAAGCTGCCACCACATATGTCATCGGCTTCAATTACAACAGCTGGACTTTGACCAGTAGAGGGTGCTTGCCGTATCGAATTTATAGGACAATGTGGAGAATTCAAAGTAATTTGAATAGAAGATTTGGAGCTGAGTCGATCATATACAAGTTACACCACCAATACACCAATACAGTTAACTATAATACAACACACTGCAAATGACAATCAGTGTTCTATAAATCCTGTCCACAAGGTATCAATGCAACATAAAATACAGATTTAATAATCTCTTAAAGAATAAAGTGGACAGCCTTGATGAAGAGAGCTCTATTTGTTTGTAGTATTAACGCAACGATTCTCAAATTCTCACTATTAGTACATGAAATGTAATCACTCCTTCTCTCTGAATCTTTATTGTTTTTAGGTTTTGATGTGGTACAAGTGAAACCCGGAGACGATGTCACTCTGGGGTGTCTCGCTGGCGAAGGCCACATCAAAGCTGTGGAGTGGACCAGAACTGACCTGGAGCCAGAGTACGTCCTCTTTTACAGCGACAGACGCTCAGATCCAACCCAGCAGCATTCAACCTTTCGGGGCCGGGTGCAGCTGGTGGACGGCGAGCTGAAGGATAGAAACGTGTCTTTAATTCTCAAGAACGTGAGCAGCAACGACAGCGGGACGTACGAGTGTCGAGTGTCCCTCGGTGGTTCGACGCGGGTTAAGAAAGCCCTCATCGAGACTGAGCCGATCTCGAGCATCACACTGGAGGTCGCAGACTCAGGTGAGTTCAGTGTTACAGCTGCAGGTGTTGATTCAAACATTAAGAGTTAACAAGAGTAAACAAAGGTCGTTCCACTGTTCAGATGTTTCTCATTAACGTTTCATCTTCAGGGCCCAGGAACGTCGAGGTCGGAAGCCACATTCGTATTGGACTGGCAGTGGGTTCTGTTTTGCTTGCTTGTTTGGCTGGATTGGCTGTTGTTGTTGTCAGGAAAATGAAGAGGACATGTGGACCACAGTCAAGCATCCTGTGACCTTCCCCCTCTGCTCTTCCTCCTGTACACTTAACAGCTGGGATCAGGTATCCAATCACACAGCACCAGCCTCTTTTAAGGAATCTCCAATGTTACACAGACGACCTCCAGTTCTACATCTCTGCCAAAACACCCAAATCTCCTGTTTACACCTGCCATAGTTGTTTTTATACTGATATTTTTCTGGAAGTCGTTTTGTTACCGTGTAAAGATTCTCAATAATGGAGCTAACCTGGATTTATGGAAACTATTCTGTCACTTTAACTAGAGCTTTTCTATCAAGTAGAATATATATATATAAAGCTTCTAGTCCTGCACTGGTTCCCCATTTCATTTAGACTACATTCCAACGTTGTAATGTTGTAATTTTAATAGCTAGTCTGGCTCCAAAGCACTGTTAACTCCTTACAGCCCAGCTAGGCCCTTAAGAGCAGCTCCCACCGACCAGACTGAGAACCAGAGCTGACCCTGCACTGTGCCTTCAGCAGAGCTACGCTTTAATGTTTACCTTCAGTTATTTTATGGCATTTATATGTTTTAACTTCCTGCAGTTATTCTCTGCTGTTATGTTTATGCACTGACTAGAATATGAAATATATGTAAAATATGTCTGAGTCATTAAGAATGAAGAATTCTATGATAACAGTTATTAGCTTTAACTTTTAAAAGAATACACTCTATATTAACTAATAAACGTATTAATATTATTATTTAAGCCTCAACCTCTTGGAGGCACCATGACACTTTGATTGGGCTTTAGTCTTTTATATTGTTAAGACTTTTAGCATTTCTTGTACAAAAGGGATGCTCTGGAACAAAGTCGTACTTATGTGCAATTCTTTAGTGTCTCACAATGATGCAAATGCTGTTTCAGAGGCAAAACTATCTGTGATATACAGCTATGGAAAAAATTAAGAGACTACTGCAACATTATTGGTGGTTTTTATACTTTTCCTCATTAAATAAGATTTGGTTCAGGTGATCACCCACTCAGTACCTCATTAAGTAGCATTAGATGTGCTTGTGTTGGAGTTCAACAGACACTTGAATGACACGAAGAGATGCTAATTTAAGTGGAGTGGTCTCTTAATGTTTGTCCAGAGCTGTTTATTCTGAAGATTTATTTAAGTATTATTAATGTCTATACTTGCCTCAACCTCTCGGACGCACTGTGAGTCATTGGTGCAAATGCTGAGGCAAAACTATTTGTGATAAGTTACCACACATCAAGCCTTTTAGGGTATTATACTATGCAAACAAGCCTTAAATATCAAGTATAGTGTATAATAATGCAGTTTACATTCCTGTGTCAACTGTTTATTGTTCGTTTATCAGTTAGCCAGTTTATTTAATGTTTTTAATGTGTATTTACATTTATTTTTATTATACAGATAAACTACATATTGCCATTCAGTTGCATGTTATTATTTTTATTATTATTCATCAAGTCAAGTCCGCTTTATTGTCAAATATGCTATATGCACAACATACAGCATAGATGAAATTTCAGTACCTTATGTGGGTATTCATGTGATGTTGTTACATTTATATTGTGTTTATCAAGAATATACTTAAAAGAACATGAAAATAAAAGCTGTAAATAATGAATAATTAGTCTGTTTCAACTCACTTCAGAAATCTAATGAATGTATTTAATAATCAGAAATGTTCCAAACTTTGTCCTAAATTTACTTCATAAAGCAACAAAACCTCAGTTTCTCACTGTTAAATGTGGAGCTGATCATTTTATAAAGGACAGTAACTCCTCCTTTTAGTCTACTACCACATTCAGTCAGATATTGTTTTATTACAGCGACTGTGTTTCCTTTTCTAAATACATAATAACCTTTAAATAAGTTTCCAGTCTGACACAGTCAGATAAAAACTGCCTGTTTTTACAGATAGAGGCATAAATGTGTGAAAGCAAACGGCTCTCTGATTTCAGTTTCACCTGGATTTTAATGTTAATACATTAGCATATGAAGCTAATAACTTTAAGTGCCATTTACCTCAGTGTCTGGGTGTGTGTATAATTATAGCTGTATAAGATTTGTGTTCGTACAATATTAAAGACCAGAGGAAGCTGAGATCTGTTTCTGGGTCACTCTCTGATCGGAGTTATAGATGAAGAGACTAGAGAGCTGTAACTGGATATAAATGAGGAGCACATAAAGCAGCATAATAGATATTTATAGGATATTGATCAGTAATTGTTTATGGGGCAGCAGCCAAATCTCATTTCCATACATGAGACGTTGTATTGGTTCCACTCCAGGAAGAGTTAGACAAACTATCTGAGAGGATGTGGGAGTTCAAATATCACCAAAAGTGTCTTTAAATGATTCCTGGGAGTCTTAAGAGATTTAAGGGAAAAGGTAAAGCAGAAGAATGTGACATTAATTGTAATTAATTATTATAATTAAGCAGTTATGAAACAACATGATCAACTCCTTTAATGCTGAATCCTAAACGTGTAAAATAATAAAGGATTAAAACAAACACTCCCATTAAACTTTTCCAACTACAGTCCAACAAGTAGTGAGTAGACACTGAAAAATTACCCTCAAATTGCTTTTTCAAACTTTTATAAGACGACTTCCACCTGTTTTGTCCCTTATTATAACTGTATACATTGCTATTGAATGATTAAGGATTAAAGTTAAAGTCTGGTGTTGACATTGAGGTCTGAATGTAAATAAATGTGTTTTATTTTGTTAAAATTAGTTATCTTTTTAGTTTCCATGTCAATATAATGTGACTCAGTGCTTGTTTAATCTATAATTAATCCCATGTGCTGTCCTAGACATTTGTTGTATACGTTTACAGTCTATAAAGACATTGTTTAATATTTATTTAGAGTAAAGGAAGAAGGAGAAGATTGAGAGTTTGATCACACTGGTTTAAATAAAACTATTTCTGTTGGGGGAAAGTAAAGTATGTGTGCACTGTAGTTTCAGGAACACGTTTATTGCACAGTAAACTTTCACATACAAGGAATTTACTTTGTTAAGATAGAGCATAACAATTAAACTTATAATTAAATATAAATAAAAGATAAAAACTAAATATGCACAATATGGTTGAATTCTTAAATGAGTGGAGAGCTGTATGAGAAGTTAGCAGTGTGACACTTAATATTGACAATGTGCATTCATTTACAGTTTGAATTATAGTAAATTAAATACATAATACAGACTGAACTGTAAAGAAAGAATTCATCAAAATTCATCAAAAACAACTTTTACACAAACTTCCTGTAGAGTTCACTATTTTATCCACTTTATTAAACATAAAATATGCATAAAATGTGTCACTTAGTTTAGGAGATGATAGAAAAACCTTTCATGAAGAGGAGGATGTTGAGCCATCGACCCACCCCCCATAACAACTTCCTCAAAAACATTTAGTCTACAGTAGTCAGACCTGCAGCAGAGATGCAGCTCTTCACACTAATCCTACTTGTGGCAAATGCATCAGGTGAGTTCTAATAATAACGGAGATTTTTAGTTTGTAGGAATCATTGCAGTTTAACAGCCCCGGAAGCGGAAGCCCTGACTCCGCCCACATTGAGTTCTGCGGGCCGGCAGTCAGGGACACATGGAGGATTCTGGTTCTGATTCTGGTTCTGATTCTGGTTCTGATTCTGGTTCTGATTCTGGTTCTGATTCTGGTTCCTCTGTGGTGCTTTATCGCTACCTACTGATCCGGAGAGTGAATCAGTAAATAGGCAATCTGAACCCCTTATATTAATTTCAATAAATTCCAATCCTATATTCTATTAAACAATCCTGTGTCTATTAATAAATATATAATAAGCCCTCCACACACTGCTTGTGAATTTACCTTATCCAATAAATACTAATGTGTTATTTAAACCAGTGTGCTCTAATATTAGTCAAACTCCGTCCTCTCTTTAACACTTATTATTCTGTGGTGTGTTCTTCCCTCGCTGTCCCAGTCAAACATTAGTTTTGCGCCAAATTTCAGATGATGATGTGTCATGTTGACTTTAATTTCCTCCTTCCTTGATTATATCTGCTGCAATCTATTAACAGGGCTAATATTGTATAAAAAACAACGTCATATTGCGATGTGATTGGCCTTTTATTGATTAGAATCTGGGCCACAGCAGTAACTCCATACATGGGTCGCCAGCTCTACCGACTGAGCTAACCGGGTGCCCTACGATTCACAATTAATGTGGCTATTTTAAAATCAAACACTCAAACTGAAGTCTATTAAAGCTATTTGCTTCCTCACATTTGAGTTTTTCCTGTATGAATTTCCTGGGAGTGCAGCCTGGGAATAAAGAGGAATAAAGGGAATAAAGAGGAATAAAGAGGAATAAAGGGAATAAAGGAAATAAAGAGGAATAAAGGGAATAAAGGGAATAAAGAGGAATAAAGGGAATAAAGAGGAATAAAGAGGAATAAAGGGAATAAAGAGGAATAAAGAGGAATAAAGGGAATAAAGAGGAATAAAGGGAATAAAGTGGAATAAAGAGGAATAAAGAGGAATAAAGGGAATAAAGGGAATAAAGAGGAATAAAGAGGAATAAAGGGAATAAAGGGAATAAAGAGGAATAAAGGGAATAAAGAGGAATAAAGGGAATAAAGGGAATAAAGAGGAATAAAGGGAATAAAGAGGAATAAAGGGAATAAAGAGGAATAAAGAGGAATAAAGGGAATAAAGAGGAATAAAGGGAATAAAGAGGAATAAAGGGGAATAAAGAGGAATAAAGAGGAATAAAGGGAATAAAGAGGAATAAAGGGAATAAAGGGAATAAAGAGGAATAAAGGGAATAAAGAGGAATAAAGGGAATAAAGAGGAATAAAGAGAATAAAGGAATAAAGAGGAATAAAGAGGAATAAAGGAATAAAGAGGAATAAAGGAATAAAGAGAATAAAGTGGAATAAAGAGGAATAAAGAGGAATAAAGGGAATAAAGGAATAAAGAGAATAAAGGAATAAAGGAATAAAGAGGAATAAAGGAATAAAGAGGAATAAAGGGGAATAAAGAGGAATAAAGAGGAATAAAGGGAATAAAGAGGAATAAAGGGAATAAAGGGAATAAAGAGGAATAAAGGGAATAAAGAGGAATAAAGAGGAATAAAGGGAATAAAGAGGAATAAAGGGAATAAAGAGGAATAAAGGGAATAAAGAGGAATAAAGGGAATAAAGAGGTTAGGTGATTTTATTGCCTCTCGGCTAAATCAGCTGATAATCAGCTGCACGAGCTAACTAACTAACTAACTAACTAACTAACTAACAGCCTCTAACATTAGTTAGAGTTTTCAGCCTTTAGAAAAGTTTAAAAGATATTAAATGTTCTCTGAATCTTTATTGTTTTTAGGTTTTGATGTGGTACAAGTGAAACCCGGAGACGATGTCACTCTGGGGTGTCTCGCTGGCGAAGGCCTCATCAGAGCTGTGGAGTGGACCAGAACCGACCTGGAGCCAGAGTACGTCCTCTTTTACAGCGACACACGCTCAGATCCAACCCAGCAGCATTCAACCTTTCGGGGCCGGGTGCAGCTGGTGGACGGCGAGCTGAAGGATAGAAACGTGTCTTTAATTCTCAAGAACGTGAGCAGCAACGACAGCGGGACGTACGAGTGTCGAGTGTCCCTCGGTGGTTCGACGCGGGTTAAGAAAGCCCTCATCGAGACTGAGCCGATCTCGAGCATCACACTGGAGGTCGCAGACTCAGGTGAGTTCAGTGTTACAGCTGCAGGCGTTGATTCAAACATTAAGAGTTAACGAGAGTAAACGGAGGTCGTTCCACTGTTCAGATGTTTCTCATTAACGTTTCATCTTCAGGGCCCAGGAACGTCGAGGTCGGAAGCCACATTCGTATTGGACTGGCAGTGGGTTCTGTAGTGTTTTTCCTTTGTTAAGCTGGATTGGTTGTTTCCTGGAAAATGAGGAAGCTACCAGAGCAGCCTGCAGGTGGATCGTGACCTGTGACCTCCCCCCCCCCTCTGCTTCTTCCTCCTGTACACCAGCAGCTGGACTTTCAACCCTCAGTCCCTTTCTTTCTCATCAGCGAGACCTCGGGCCCCCACAAATACTGACGACTGGAGTAAAAAGCATAAACATTATATTTCCAACAGCTCCGTCTGTTGTTGTTACAAACCAGAGACAAATAAGCTGAGATCAGGTGACCAATCATTCCTTCTCTGGAGTCACTGCCCTCTCCCAGTGTTCACTAATCAAACTACAGAGCACCAGCCTCTCAAGGTCGGTGCTCGGTCCCCTCCAGTGTTACGCAGACAACCTCCAGTTCTACATTTGTCTACATATTTCCCCTGTCTTTATATTTGTACGTACTCCTTTTGTATTGTCTAGATTTTCTAACTTTATTTAATATTTTTCAAGGCTTCATGGTGATTCCTATGTATTCCACCAATGTACCAAGTCCTCGTATGTGTCATTGTTATGTTGTTGTTGAAAGGTACGTTTGCTGTCATGTACTCTAGTATAAGGAAATTGTGTAATTTTAAATGTTCATGTCAATGTTTTAAGCACATGTATAGTCAGTACTTTATTTCCTAACCTGCACACGTCGGGTTTTACTTCCTCTTTGCTCGGGGACTTTTCCCAGAAAGGTCCACAGTTCTGCTGCTCTCCGTATTTTCATTGTTTTTGTTGTAAAAGTGAATGTAAGTTACCTACAAATACTTGTAAAGCTGCTGTAGTCACAGTGTTAACTTGCAGACTTATTTCTTTTCATGCATAAACTTTTTTTCTAATTAGAGGAAAAGCAACGCAGAATTAGACCCACTACATATGCACTGACTAGAATATGAAATGTGTGTGAAATATGTAATAAGTAATATTACTGCAATATTAAGACTGAAGAACTCTAAGATAACAGTTATTAGCTTTTGTTTTTGCTCTTTCAGCAAATTTTGGGATGAAAATCTTTTATATTGTTAAGTTTTTTAGCTTTTCTTGTACAACAAGGGATGCTGTGAAATAAAGTCTTTATTAATGTGAAGTGTTTTAGTGTCTCTCAATGGTGCAGATGCTGTTTTAGAGGTTTTTAATGCAAAATCTATCTATTTGTGATATATCTTGTTACCATACATGAAGCCTTTTAGGATATTAATTTAAGACATCTGGATGTGTTTCAAAGACACAGAGTTTCCTTAAATGTAAATTATAGCGTATAGTAATTCATTTTACAATCCTGTGTTTATTGTTCAATTATTGTACATGGAAACTAAATCAAAAGTTTATTAGACACTTAAACTGTTTTTCTCTATATTTCCCTTTACACTAAGTTTAGAATCCAAATTTATAAACTAATAATTTACGTTATATATGCAGATAAGTTACTGATAAATTATAATAAACTGAACAATGTTTGTTTGATTTAAATACATTATTTTACACATTCTGTATCCGGCGGAACCTTTTACTGAGACAAAGTTCCGACCCGGCTGTAAATATTGGGACGCAGGGCACATCCTCCATGCGTGTTTAGAGTGAAGCTGTGTGATGACATTATCGGTGCTTTTTAAGATGTTTATGATTAAAGTTAATGTTTAAATAGTTATTAATATCGCGTATACAGTTTAGAATATTCGGTATTTGATCCAAAATGGCGACCGACGTGTCGAAGTAAAGTTTACGGTTGTTTTTTTCCTCAATGTTTGAAACTTCTAGAAAGTAGGTAGGTTGAAAACAACAACACATGACACATTAATAACAAAACATAACACATAAATATAATACCTGATTCAAACTGTGGTTGTGACCCGAGTTCTGCTCGAATGTCTCAACGGTGAAGAAGCGAATCCCGAACTCCATTTAAAAAATGCGTATTTTTTATTTCTTTGTTTTGTTGCAAACATAAATTTCACAGTGAATATGAATCATGTGACTTTTACAAATTTGTAAAGTGTTGTGATTAATTCGGCATAGATTGCATCCACCAAACGACACGTTATTGTAATAAATCCTCAAGTTGCAGCGGAAAAACGAGTTAAATATAGTTAAATGTTAACTTAATTATCATTCATTGTTGTGACTGTGTGCCGAATTGCAAAATGGTTTCTATTTATTACTAAAACATAATAAGTTATATCCTAATCTGTGCAGAACCATGGATAATAATCAAAGATTTATTAAAGGATCAACATTTTGAATTGAGTCTTGCCATAGAAGAAGAAAAGACGTTTTAACCAATCGTTGCTGTTATGTTGTGTCATTTTCCAGGTGTGTGTTTTTCTGAGAGATTTATTATGATGAAACTTAATCAATAACTAATAATAGTAAATAATAAGAAATAAGAAACTTAAGAAGTTAAAGGTAATTTTTTTGTCTTCCTGTTCAGTGTTGTTGACAGAGATCATGGAGGGTTTGGAGGAGAAGCTCCGAGGTCTGTCCATCGCCCGGCGGTGTCGCCCGGAGGAGCCCACCTACCTGCTGGACGTGGCCCTGCAGCCCGCCGGCCTGCTGGCGGTCTCCTGCTCCAACTTCACCGTCCACCTTCACAACAAGGACTCTCTGGACCTGGTGGGAGAGTACCGGGGCCACAGCGGGCCGCTCTGTGGGGTCGTTTTCTCCCACTCGACCCCTGACCTCCTCTACTCCGGGTCTGCTGACGGGACGGTGCGGGGGTGGGACGTCCGCCGGCCCGGCACCGAGGCGGTCCAGGTGTTTAAAAGCGACCCGTCACACAGCTACTGCAGCCTCGACCTGAGCTGCGGCGACGCGCTGCTGTGCGCCGGCACCGAGCAGGTGAACGAGGAAGACAGCTTCCTGGTGTTCTGGGACGTCAGGAAACCCGGCGGGAAGCTTCTCGGGGTGTATTCCGAGTCGCACAGTGATGACGTCACGCAGGTGCGCTTCCACCCTCGAGATAAAGACCGGCTGGCGTCCGGCTCCACAGACGGCCTCGTCAACGTGTTTGATCTGAGCCGGGGGGCGGAGGAGGAGGCGCTGCTCGCCACCTGTAACAGCGACTCCTCGGCGGGGTCGGTCTGTTGGTCCGGGCCGGGTTACACCCAGCTGCTGTGCCTCAGCCACGACGAGGGCCTGCACCTGTGGGATCTGGGTCAGCTGGACACGGACGAGCCTCTCACCGTTTTCAGCACGTCTGACGCTCGCAGCCTGACGCCGCTGACTGATGGGGGAGGCGTGGATTACCTGGTGGGGGGGAGGTGGCTGGAGGAGGCGCAGAAGCTGATGGTGGTCGGGGGGAAGAACAACGGCGACCTCCACCTGATGGAGTGTGGCGACGGGGGGCTTCGTCTGCTGAGGAGCCTCGAGGGCGGCCACGCCTCCACCGTGCGCTGCTTCCTGTGGGACCCGGCGGCGGAGGCTCTGGTCACCGGTGGAGAGGATGCGCAGCTGTTGCTATGGAAACCAGGAGGGGAGGACCTCACGACGGGGAAAAGGGAGCCCATGAAGAGCCGCTCGGCTTTGAGACTCAAATCCAGGCCGCATAAAAAGCACGGCTACCAGAGAGACAGGAAGGCGGCGAAGACGCTGAATCACACTGACTGAATAAAGAACAACCTGTCATCAGCGCGAGTTTTACCCATTATAACAGTCAAACAGCAAAACATCGAGCCGAACGTCACCAAACTACTAGTTCTTTAAGTTGCCTTTTAATTAATTATACAATATATAATTTATATATTTACAATTCTCACTTTCTCCCACAACTTAATTTAAAATGAATGTCTATAAACTGTTTGATATGGTAAAAAAACAAACATATTGGGATTATTCTGACAGATATTGTGATTGTGAACTCTCATTATAACGCTGTTTTGGCAAACATTTTACTTTTATCCAAAAATTGCAGCTTTCGAAATCTCGATAATATTTCGATTAACTGTGCAGCTCTACCGTCTCCCATAATTTAATTATCAGCTGAGACCGAGCGGATGTGGTGAGGTGGAAATAAAGAATCCAGTGTGTTATTACACTGATTACAAACTGTGATCATTCTGATCAATATTTATTTATTACTAGAAACTTGACATCACATCCTCTGAGGGCAGACTGTGGGTAAAATGAACATGTGACCTGGATACATTAATTGGTGGGTAGTGGTCAACCGATGTGGGTTGTTCAGTGGCCGATGCAGATGCCGATATTAGCCGATATATAATGCCGATATCAAAACAAAGAAAAGTCATGTATAATAATTTTCTGTTCTATAGGACGTTCAGGTATGTGTTTACGACAGGATGAAACCAGTTTCTACACCAACTCACCAAGACTCACAGGATTATCTCAATATGCCGGATAATCAACCCGATCAATCAACCCGATCAATCGGTCTGTCAGTGGGTCACGTGTACTCAAGTACAAATGACAAACCTACTCAAGAAAAAGTAATCTGAGTAAAACAAAGTCTACTTCTGTTTGTGTTTGTATTAATCAGTCTCTGTAACGTCCAACATCACAACCCTCGTGTGTACAACGCTGCCACCTAGTGGGTGAGGAGTTAAATACTAAAATCAATACAGTGTTTTTGAGAATCGATAAAATATCACAAGACGAAATATTGCGATAAGATATTTTTTGATATTATTTAACAGCTCAATCATTATCATTTATCATCCTGATCCAGATACAGACTGAATGTAAAGTGGAGCTGTGGTTAAAAAGGTTTACAGTCTGGATTTATGTGAACTCAAAGATGTCGCTCTGCAGATTAAGTCCCATTGATCTGTGAGTGAGCTGTTGATTGGATCTTTTCTTCCTCCAGTGGAACACAAAGGAAACTGCAGGAAGATCCATAAAAACAAACAACAGACATATTTAAAAGATCTCTTTGTGAAGTGTGATTGCCTTTAGTGTCGTACATCAATCTATAGCTCGTACTGTGGTATGAAGTTGAGGTTTTATTTGCTGTTTTCATTTTTAAATTGACCAGAAAAAAGTGCTTTATTGTGTCATTTAGTTTATAATATTTCTGCTTTAAAGTTGCTGTGATTCATTGAGCTGGAGGACTGTTGCCATTGCACCACATCCCGAAAGTCACCGGAGCTGCCCGGCACAGCGGGATCGTGCTGAGGGAGCAGCTATCGCTCTCAAATGGCAGAGAGTGGAATAACATGATTGGCAGTGCGAGTGTGCGACTGTGTGTGCGACTGTGTGTGCGACCGGAGAGGAAACCTGCAGTGATTGAAGCTCATCCAGAGACATTAAAGATTCTTTATGTTTTTTATTTATCACATTATGAAATAAAAAGCATATTTATATGGTGGTAAAACAGAGTTATTAAACTATTAAATCCACATGAAAACTAACCCTAACCCTTTTAAAGTAAATATCCAGTATTGTTTGTGTTTTTTAAAGATTCCTTTATTACTAACTTATAGATTTTTGGATCACAAAAGAAATCAATCTGCAGTGCGATCAGAATCAGAAATACTTTATTGATCCTCGGGGGGATATTTGTTTGTTACAGTTGCTCAAGGTGCTCACACAGTGTTAAAGAATAGAAATAATAACAATATTACAATATCTAACACAATATATATAGATAATAGAAATGTAAGTATGGAAATAGAAATATAAGAGCCTAAGTAAATACCTTATAATAATATATATATATACAATATTAAGAAGAAATTAAATGAGAAAAAGTTGTGAGATTTTAAAGATTGTAGTATTACAGAAGTTATATTAAATTATTATATATATTATAAATTATAACAAGAATAAGAATGAGCCAGTGAAACAAATAGTAACAGCAGTAAAAATAATACTGTAAGCACACCTGCTGAAAGTATACAGAAATGATCCATATTGAATATCTTTATAACTTTATTGTTTTCTAATTATTGCTGTTTATAGGTTGGTTTAGGGATGCACAATAATATCAATAAGTCATTGGTATCTGCAGATAAAGGCTTTTTTAAAATATATATATTATGTTTATTGTCATATTTACATACCTGTACCCAAAGACTCATCTCAAACACGTGTCCAGGACACAAGAGTGTACAAAATGCTGCTTTACAGAGGAGCTCTTGTGACCTCTTTAGGATTTCTTTATACAAACCTCCGTCTGTATCACTAGAGGTCACCAAAGATTCACAGGGGTCGTCAGGCCTTCTTGGTTTTAAACATACAGACCTACATGTCAGCATTTCATTCATTCATTCCTGTGATGAAGAACTCAATGAATACAGACAGAGAATCGTATTAAAGGTTCCTTAAACAGGAAATAATCTGCTCAAAATTCATCCAAGTCAGTTTAATAAATGAATAAAAGAGTCCTTTAAGGAAAAAATATAAACTATAATCAGGTTTTTAAATGTTACATTGTTCTGTTGTTTTATAGCAGCGGTTCCCAACCTTCTTCCTTAAGGGAACCATTTTCTATTATTTAATAAACTGACTCAGTGACATATTTTATGTATATTTCATATTATATTAAAAACTGTACGATGAACCCAAACAGTGAACTCGGTAACGGCAGGAAGTTTGAGTAAAACCAGAGATTTAGATGAATTTTGAGCAGATTATTTCCTGTTTAGGGAACTTTTTATATAATTCTCTGTATTATGTTTTGTTTTTGTTGAGTTTATAGACTTCTTTCTTTTTGGGACAAATTGAGTGTAATTTACTTGACAGTTTAATTACAGAGGAGAACTCTACTTCTACTTCTTACTGAAGTTTATTTTCTCGTCTTTATCTGCATATTTCATGTTGATCTAATCAGAAAGCAACGGAAAATTGCTGATCAATATTTTGCACATTCCTGCAAACTGTTCATTCATTCATTCATTCATAAAACTGTTATATTTTATACATATTATCTTTTTATATTTGCATATACTGTTACCACTTTATTTATATTCTCTTTAACTGAATGAATTTTAAGGCAAATTCCTTTTATGTGAAAACCTACTTCACAATATTCTCGATTCTAGAAAGTAATCAAATTACTGTAATGTTGTGAATGGGATTACATTATTAAAGTCCCAACTCTGCCTATAATAACCTTGACAGCCACCAGGTGAAGGGAACCTATCACACACCCTGCTGTATTTATTCATAGTAGACCTATATATTATTAGTTATGTAACTCCTCTTTCTGCTAACCTATCCTCTCTATAATCTCGAGGCTTGCACAGGGGGGGAATCCACTCTCCCCCCCCCACACACACACCGCACCCACCGCACCCACCGCACAGCAGCGGGGCTGGAAAACACAATCTGCGGCAAAAGGTGGCTCAAAGTGCGGGGAGGAGAGTGTGCAAGCGACGGGCTGGGCCTCGGACAGGTTTAGCCTCATTCCTGCACCGCTGTGTGTCTGCGAGACACACACACACACACACACACACACACACACACACACACACACACACACACACACACACAAAAAAACGACTCTTTTTTTTCCTTGTCCCTTCTCCTCCACCTAACCGAGCCTCGTTCTCGCCCCTCCCCCGGGGTTCTGTGATTGACAGCGCCCGCCGGCCAATCAGAACGCTCGACGGCGCCGCCGGCAGCCAATCGGCGTCGTACGTCGGCCGTTAACGGTCGAGCAGCACGTTGCGGTGCGCCGGTGTTATGTGTGCCTCAACCCAGCAGTGTTGACAATAGAAACAGCCCCGAATCACAAAACGAGCTAAAAAGGGAAAAAAAAACACCAAAACAACAAAAAAAAAAACACCAAAAAAACCCCAAAATCCCGGGGGTTCGGGGGACAGACGAGCAGCTGGATCAGCACCAGGAATGTAACTGCGTTCATCGTGTTTCTATACTTTGTCTTTATTAATGGGAGTTTGAGGATTATCCCGTCGGAAGAAGAAGAAGAAGAAGAAGAAGAAGAAGCAGAAGAAGAAGAAGAAGAAGAAAGCTGCTCGTGGGTTTGAGGCCGGGTTTCTCTTCTGGACCGCACCGAGCTGGAGGTAGCTGCAACCGCCCCCCCCCCTCCCCTTTACACACACACAAACATAGGATAACTCCTCTCCGCTGCGACCCGCAAAGGATCAAGGTAAAGTACTAGACCCGGAGGGGGCACTCGGTCGGCTGCGGCTCGGGACTCGGACGGTGTGTCTCCAGTCTTTTGAGCGCTAGCTAGCATTAGCACTGCCCCCCCTCCTCCTCCTCCTCTCCTCCTCTGTATTTACATCTGGGATGATGGGTGATCGCCCGAGCCCGCCCAGGTAACGTTGTTCCACCAGCACACATATAAATGTTAAAGATTTTGATTCAACTTCAAAAATGTTTTCACACCAGATTTCTTCTTCTTCTTCTGCTTAGCTTAGCTTAGCTTAGCTTAGCTTAGCTGCTGGCGGCTAACTTGAGCTAACCCCGCGATAGCCGTAGCACTAACGGTAGCTTTTTTTTTTTTTTTTATTTCCTGTGACACGCGATAAATGTGTGTGTGTGTGTGTGTGTGTGTGTGTGTGTGTGTGTGTGTGTGTGTGTGTGTGTGTATAAACGTTAAACAGACGCTTTGTGGCGGCGGAGCTAACGTTGCTAGCCAGCTAACGCGCTGTCAAGTTGTTTTTGAATATTTTTGCTGCTTCGCTGCTGCTGCCAGGCCCCGAAACACCGAAACATGGCCAAAAGCTAACGCCAGCTTCTTCTGAAAGCCCTGGTTTTTTTTTTGTGTGACCCTTCTTCCATTTGTTGGCCTCCTCTTCCTCCTCTTCCTCGCTCACATGCAGTGACACTGTGTAATCTGGTGTTTGTGAGCTGCTGTCAGGGGGAATGTAAAGCATCGCTGACACACTCAGGTTTTTTAAAAAACAGTATTTATTGATAGGTGAAGTTGGCAACCAGGGTGCGGACTACAAGGGGAGAGACATGAGCTTCTCCTCAGAACATGATTTGTGAGATTTTATGTAAATTATTGGCAGTTTTAGCCCCACCTGGATTTTTTTTTTTTGCAGCCTAAAATGTCTGATTTACTAAAAGTGCGATGCATGATGGTATTTTTTTTTTTTTTTAGGGATTTAGGGAATGAAAATGCAGGAGAAAGTGAATAAACTCATGTAGAAGTAGAAATAGAAAGCAACTTGTGCCAGTGAGAATAAAATGTAAGTTTCTTAAACACACCTGTGTCTTGAACACTGGAAACAAAGAGGGCGAGTTTGGGGACATACGACTTGTCTAAATGTGCAGAAAAGTGTCAGTGATGGGACGAAAGTGAAAAGGAATTGGATTTGTGTTTAATTGCTGCGTTTTAAACTTCCTGGGGGAGATTGTTACGTGCTATTTTCGCCATGCATTTCTATTCTTCTGATGGTTAAATGTGTAAATTTAGTCTGATATTAATGTATGATTTGTGCAGCGTTAATGACGGTAGCTGTGGTATAGTTTGCACACTGGTGGCAACGTATAGGCATTGTTCTGGTCAATATAATATCTGTAAAGCATCCTAAAGCACGGAGTATTTCACTCTAAAAACATCTAAGCTGCTAAATAAACTAAGCAAGGAAATGTAACACTATTTAAAGATCTGTAACACAATGGTACAGAGGAATCTTTCAGGTACTTCCTCTGGAAAATTAAGTGCCAAAATTAAAGGAAATGAGAGCAGCTTTGTAAATGTATGGCGGTGACACCGGTGACTCATTTTGCTCAGTGATTTTTGGAGACTTGATTTCGAAGAGGAGGTGGTTCCACTCCACGAATGATTTGTCTGTAAAAGTAGTGTGATGTGATCAGGGTGTGAAATTTAGTTTCACTAATGTACTTAATACGTATTTGTTTATTATTTTCTCAAGCTCAGGCCAACAGAAACTTAATTTTATTATTAATGTGCACTTTTATACAGTAAAGTAAACCACCAAACAGTAAAATAAATGGGTAAAAATAGCCTGTTTTTATTATGTTTTTTACTTTAATGCATCAATAATGATATTCCAAATGCGTAATATATAACTGAGTAACACTGAGGCCATATTACGTCCATACTGAGCATCAGAGGAACATCAGTGTCGGTATTGGCTGTATTGATCACCAACCTGAGTCTGATCCTTTTGTTTCAGGTTGCCTACAATAAGTTTAAGAGTTGGTTGAGTAGATCCTGTTAAAGTGCGTCCACTAACAGTAGTTGTTTCTGCCACTGACAGACTCCGATTGTTATTGTAAGTGTCTGACAGCATTATGGAAAGGATCCCTACAGAGATAGACCTTTTTGCCCAACATGGCCAAGCTGACGTCAGCTCTCCTAAAAGGCTTGATTTCTGACCTTATGCAGTCGGCGGCCTACTTTGCTGCTCTAGCTGATAAATATGTAACATC